TGCTGCATTGATGACCAGGTTATTAGCATGACTTCAGCTTGTTTTAATTCAGTAACGGATGTATTGATTAGACAATGTAAAAGGTACTTCTCCTTTTTCATTACAGAGACACTTAAGCAGGAAACAGCTAGTGCAAGGTTTCACAATATAGATAGTGAAGAGTTAATTGGTATGTTTAGTGAATCTAAGGGAAGATTCCCTAATACAACAATTTTATATAATTCTTGAATGTAAAGGAATAAGTGAATGTAAAGGAAGATCCTCTAATGCAACAACTTGTTATATTTCTTGCAAAATAAGATGAAAAAAGAATAGGACTATTTATTATCTTGATAGTTTAGATTACTAACTAAGTAAGAAAATGTAATTAATGGTCCATTTTCTACAACATGCTCAAATTCGATCTGCATTATATAAGAGACAGACATGCAAGCATCAAATTTTAGATGAACAAGATAAAAAGAAATTATAACAAAAACTTAAGTTAATGACTTTCAGCCAGATTAAGAATTTGTATAAACAATTATCATCCAGTTGCTACAAAGCAACTGGATGATTTAGATGATGTTATGTCTGACAGAATTGTTAGTAGCAAACTATATCATGAATGGTATGATATTGAACAATCTAAGTATACGATGGCAGAGTAGAAAAAGTAAAAAAAAAGATTGCATGACAAAATTTACATCTCTTACTGGAAAAAAGATGAATCTGATTCTGAAGCTGATAATTATTGCATGAAAAAATTCCAGCTGGCCCTAGATGTTGTATCAGGAGAATTTTTTTTTTTTTTTAATGTTATTGTGTATTATTTGTTTTTAATGTTAATATGTATTGTTTTCATAATTGAAAGGTAAGTCCAAAATAGATACTGCAAATGTTAGAACTTGAAAAGTCTTAACATTTGAAAAGTATCGCAAATGTTGTGACTTATAAAATTGGTACAGAAGTGTTGTGACTTGCACAAATTATTGATAGACGGCTCTGACTTACCTTCTTGTGATGTCTATCGTTAAAAAATGATTAATATTTTGTTTCATTAGTGGAATTTCAAATTGTTTACTAAAAGCCAAGATACTAATTAATTACAATGGGTATTTTGTTTACACTAAATTACATAATTTTAAATATTTTATTTTTAAAACATTTTACATGTTTTTTTAGGTTAGATGTTAAAAAATCAAACAGCCTTTTGCCTAAGAATTTAAATACTCTTACACATTTTGTATTAAAAATTAAAGTGTTAAAATTTTTGTTTATTTTTAACAATATTTTTCAATTTAAAGTTAAAAAAAAATTTTTAGATTGGAGGGGCTATTTCTCTTTCCTATGTGAAACTGGATAAACATTTGCTTTTTGTAAAGTGGTAATATGTCTGTTTATACTAATTTTTGACGTTTGAAAATGTCAACAAATTTTTCTTTTTTTAAATGACAAAAATTGACAAAAAATATTGGGGGGGGGGGGCGGTTAGGCGAAAGCGGGCGCACGCCCTTACCTCTCAAATAAAAGTATACCATACTAACAAGTTGTAATGTAGTAAAGTATTTTTTTTTTTAATTTGGAAGGAGATTGGAGGAGGGGCGGTGCTGCGCGGGTGTACGCCCCTCACCTTGACTCGAGTTATACACCACTAACCACTAGTTGTAAAGTACAACTAGTGGTTAGTAAAACTTAAATTTTATTTTTTGTTCTAGATTATTTAATTGGAGATAATATTATTTATAAAAAAGGAATTATTTTTGTTAATAATACGTGTTAAACAAGCACCACCACATCCACCCCTAACTCAAAGGTACACATCTCATATATGGTGGTGAGCTGGGATCTAAATATTGGAACTTCTGTTTGATAAAAAAGACAATTTTCAGTATTAAAATACTTTTTTATGATAAAATATTCAATTTTTTGGTGGTAAAAGTCGTAGTTCGGGGCCCCCTCTAGCCGTCCACTCACGCCCTATGGCAAGATGCTACTATAAAATTGTAGCCCACTCTTACATCTTTCTTTTGATACCAAATTATAGAAATTTCAACAAGAATTTGCATAGTTATAACCATTTTCGATACAAAAAAAATTATTTTGACCACAGTTTCTTTAACAATTTCATATATTCAAAAATTGTCACTAAAAACCTTATAACTTTTTTTTGAATTGTTCGATTTTGATAATTTTTTCACCGTTGAAATACTGTATTAATGCTCTTTTTAACGATATATAACAATATAATATTTTGTAAATTTAAAAATTTCATGTCACATACCTATATATAGTCTTCATATATATATATATATATATATATATATACAATATATATTGTATATATATATATATATATATATATATATATATATATATATATATATATATATATATATATATATATATATATATATATATATATATATATATATATATATATATATATATATATATATATATATATATATATATATATATATATATATATATATATATATATATATATATATATATATATATATATATATGAAGACTGGTTTTGAGATTAGATATATATATATTTAGATAATAATAATATATATATATATATATAATATATGTATATATGTATAATATATGTATGTATATTTATTATCTTATTTATAACTACTTCAGCTATGTAAAATAGATTTTTAAAACTAAATAATCTTTTCTTAACAGATTAGAATAATAATTTATATAAAAAATTTTCAAAAACAATTTAAATTAAATCTAAAAACCAGTCTTTAGTTCAAACTCTTAAAGTGAGTAATGTTAAATAAAGTTTTGTTTATCTTTCTGTGCACCTTCAGCGGGTCGTTGATACAAGTTTCAACATAAAACGGCAAAACAATAGATACGGCCTTTATTTCCAGACTATTTATTCTTATGACTATGGTTTGCGTTCACACGAGAGGATATTTGTTCATGTTCCATGTTCCACGGAATGTTCCATCAAATGTACCCTCGTGTGAACAGCCTATTAGCGGGACGGTACAAAAGTTCCTCAAATGTTCCTTGAATTTTTGTTCCGTTTGCGTTCACACGAGAGGATATTTGTTCATGTTCCATGTTCCACGGAATGTTCCATCAAATGTACCCTCGTGTGAACAGCCTATTAGCGGGACGGTACAAAAGTTCCTCAAATGTTCCTTGAATTTTTGTTCCGTTTGCGTTCACACGAGAGGATATTTGTTCATGTTCCATGTTCCACGGAATGTTCCATCAAATGTACCCTCGTGTGAACAGCCTATTACGGTCTTATCACAGAGCACCGCGGAAGAGCATTTGATAGGAAGTTCACGCCTCCTTCCAAACCGATGTCGCAAAACTTGCCCAGACGTGGGGTTTAAACCACGGATCTTACGTTTGTGAGGCAAGTGTGATACCACTGCGCCAGGGCTGCTCAAAATAGACGCGCCCGATGAGGGACTCGAACCCGCGACCCTCAGATTAAAAGTCTGATGCTCTACCGACTGAGCTAACCGGGCACAAGTTTAAAGATGTAACAGAAAATAAAATATGTACTGAAGAATTGAAGGCATTCAAATGCTAGGTGAAACGGGAAACTTTAAACAGATTTTATTTTTAACTCAAATTTCGAAAAGATGGTAAACATACATATCAGTATCAGTGCCGGATCAAAGGAAGGGCCTATGGTGCGGGGCCCTGCAAATTTAGGGGCCCCCAAAAATTTCAGAGGACCATTTTTTTTTTTAGTCATTTTTTAGGCTCTGGCCCATAAAAAGGCCTCCAAAATCAAAAATAGCCCCGGGCCCCAAGAAGTCTAAAGGTGCGTTTCCACTCATCCGTTTTTTCATAGGGAAAGAAAAAATAATCACGTGAGCATGCGTGGACATATTAAAACTTATACGCATGTCCACATGATTATTTTTCCCGTTCCCGTGAAAAAACGGATGAGTGGAATCTCGCCTTTAATCCGCCACTGATCAGTATTGGATATTATTAAGGTAGTACCAGCAAAAAAAAAAAAAAAAAAAAAAAATTAAAACAGCCAATGCATGCTAATTTTGATGTAATATTTGTGAAAAACTATGCGTGATAAATAAAAATTTAGAGTAAGGGAACGTTCTCCACGTACGCACATAGTTAAACTGTTGATTTAAGGCTCCCTAGTACGCACCGTTATGCTTTTAACAAACTCCTGTATACGTACGTACTATTTATTACAAACCACCCCAACAAGGTTAATGTGATCTTTTAAAATCGTGAAATTCAATTTTTATTACAAAAAATATATAAATAGTTTTAAATAGTCAAACCACGTACGTACTAATAATAGTTTTTATTATATTTAGGGGTATTCCGTAAACAATGAGAAACATGGCAAGCGAAAATTTATCCTATTATTATTTCAAAATACGTTGGTTTATGAAAAAAAATGAAAAAGAAAAATAGATTAATTAGTAGATATTAACTGAGAAACACATTAATAATACTGATTAACACATTAATGATACTGATAAACACATTAATAAACTGATGAACACATTAATAATACTGAGAAACATATTAACATTACTGAGAAACACATTAATAATACTGAGAAACACATTAAACAAAATATTTTTTGCATTAGAGTTAAACACATAATTGTTTGTCAAATTAGTATAAATCTACGCAAAATTAATAACAACTTTGTAAAAGTAAAACGAAATATTGAACTATTTCAGAAAAAAGTTGCAGGATTTCTAGGAATTTTTGCAACAAGGGGTGTTTTCCCAGGACTTTTTCAAGCCCTATCAAATTCCAGGTCTTTTCCAGTTTTTCAAAGACCACTAGCCACCCTGCATTTTTCTAGTTTTTCAAGAAACGCTGGCCACCCATTTACTTATTTATTTAAAGCTTAGTTTTTAATTAAAAACTTTTCTAAATTTTTATTGTTAATATTAACTTCTATTTTTTATTGCTGATGTTAACTTCTTTTTGCAAACTATTTCTTTCTAATTAATACCCATCTGTCTCGAGAAAAATATGAGTTACAATAACATTATATTCTATAAATACAACATTTTACAAAAATTAACATTATGAATTTAGGCGATACGAAAGTTACTTTCCAGTTTTGAACCATTTAGGCTTTCCTTGAGACGATTCTTTTTTTGGCAAAGATGAAGTAGATGATCTCGGTAAGGTTGAAACATTTGAAGAATGTAATGTTTTAAATTCTTTATGATTATCAAGTTCAGATTCAGGATTTGATCGCCTGAAAAAAAAGAAAAAAAAAATCATATTTCATTTATTATAAACACATTTAAATAATTGTGAAATCGTTCCAAAAAATTTAAACAAAATTTAAACATAATTAAAAAAAAACAACAAAAAAACAATATTATTACTTTCTTATAGACGACACTAGATCATCTGCTTCGGCCCACGAATGCATTTTTTCCAAATAAATTGATTTTAAATAGCTATCTAAAAATTTATTGTGCAGTTTATTATTAAAAACAAATGCGGGTTATAAAAGTCGTCTTAATTATTTTAATAAGCTAATTTATTCAGCAGACGAAATAATACTTACGATAGGTACTTGTAGTAGATATATGAATTATAGATGATGGAAATAGCTTTGCCTAAATAAACAATTTTTAACATTTCTAAAAGCAAAACATTTTAACATTTTGTGTGAAATTAGATGTGAAGAAAAAAAAACCTGATACAGTGTTGCATTCATGTCTTTAAGAAAAATACGAGGGGGAGTTGTAACTAAACATAGTAAATACAAACGCTTTGATTTTATTAATTTCAAAATCAGAGTCACAAAAAAATTAAAAATAAACTTACACATTTCGTATTTTAAGATATCTTCTGAAACATAGGAATCAAGAAATTCTTTCAAAACTTGAACTATTTATAAACATTAAAAATTTTCATTACTAATGTGTTAATAAATGAACTTGATATAAAATATAATAGATACAAAATGAATTAAAACTGCTATATATATGAACTTATATACTTTAATATATAAATATATATATATAGCATAAAAAAACTTTCAAAATTAGAATAGTAATATTATTATCAACAAAACAATAAATTGTATCATTATTTTCTCACCAGTTTCTAATGGTCTGAAAAAAGCTTGAACAACTATTTTATCTGGGAACTGGAACCTAATTGCAATCTGAAAATAATATTTATGTAAATTTTAAAGTTTGCGCCGTTAATTTTTATTTTTTTTATTTTTTTATTATGTTATTATTAATTTTATAAATCGTATAATGGACAAAAAAATATATATTATTTTTTTAAACATCTTAATTCTTTATAATAATATTCATTATCTAATATATCTATTATAATATGCACTTCGAAAAATGATCTTTTGAGGTCACTGAACAACTTTCCCCATAATCATTAAAATAAAACCTAAGAATTAAAACTTGCATTATTTGTTCTGGAATTTTAAATTTTTTGAAAAATAATTCTTATGACCTAAAATACCTCGAAAGTAGCGCATTTTTTAAGAAAAATAGTTTATTTTTCTTTGAAAATGCCCCGAAAAATAAACTTGAAAATTATTTACCTTTTTAAATCCAGTAACTTTTAAAAAGTTTTAGTAAGGAATATTAAAAAAGACGTGAAAATAATTAAAATAATTAAAGAAACTTACTCTGACGATCGTTCTTTAAACAAAATACTAATTTTTTAAATTGAGAAGTAAAAAAATATACATAGGCAGCTATTTTATAAATAAAAATAAACCTTTTCCACATAAGCACGGAGTAACAAAAAGTCGTTGTGCATTTCACATAAGCAGGGAATAATAAAAAGTCATTGTACATTTCATATAAGCAGGGAGTAACAAAAAATCGTTGTACATTTCACATAAGCATGGAATAATAAAAAGTCGTTGTGCATTTCACATAAGCAGGGAATAATAAAAAGTCATTGTGCATTTCACATAAGCAGGGAGTAACAAAAAATCGTTGTACATTTCACATAAGCAGGGAGTAAATTAGCGTAAATTATATGAATTAAATCACATTAGCATAAAGATCTCACAGAGTGAGATCTTTACGCTAATGTAAAGTATGGAGGAAAACTCCAACCTTTCTGTAAGAAGAAATTGTGAAGGAAAAAATCTACAGTTTCCGTGGGAGTGTAGTGAAAAGTAATTAATTAATGTTAACAGTCAAATGAGCTTAGGTACCAATAAATCACATAATTAAAAACCAATGAAGCACATAATTCTTAGTCTTGATATCCTAAAATATTTTATTTGACAAACGACATTAATAATCATATTGTAAGATAATTGTATTACTTTTCCAATGCTAGATATCTTTTCCATTTCTTTTTTTTCTCGCATTGCTTTTGTCATTAACATTGCTTCGTCTTTTGCAGCTCTAAGAAAATCAAATAAAAAAAATACTAGCACCTATCAGTAAATCAAATAACTATGGATAAATTGAAGCAAAACAGATAACAATTTTTTTTAAATATTTGGTCAGATACGCTCATTAAATTGGGTCAAAAACATTGGGTCAGATACGCTCATTAAACTTTAAAATAAACATTTTTCCGTTAATTTTACAGCAAACATTATATCGTATAAACGATCGTTTGGTTTTATAATACTATATATTACTATACATACTATATAGTACTATTGCATATAATATATAAAAATACTATAGTATATAACACTATATATGTACTATTCTATACTATAGCATAGTACATATTTTTCTATATTATAGCACAGTAAATATTTTTCTAAACTATAGCATAGTACATATTATTCTATACTATAGCATACTACATATTTTTCTATACTATAGCATAGTACATATTTTTCTACATTTAGATATTAATTTTAACTTTTTGTTTTACAAATGGCTTATAATTTCAATTTTTTTTTTTTGGCAAGCAACTTTTGAAATATTGAAAGAAACTGGCACAGTATTTAAAATAGACAAATTTAATTAAAAAAAAAAAAATGGTTTCAAGAAGTGCAATTGTAAGACATCTTAGCATAATATGCTCAAAAATTGGTGAAGGGCAACCACTTGCTTTGCTTTTATCTGCATTTTCTAATTTAGATTGGAAAAAAAGCAATTTATGAAACTTATTCAAATATATATATTAAAAAAAAAAAAAAAGAATTTCAGAAAAGATTTATGAATGGTGTTGCTGGTTATCAGCATTTTTCAAATTTTATAAACCACAGGCAGAAAAATCATCGATAAGGAGTACAGAGCTTTTAACATTAACAAGAGCCTTGTAACTAGCTGTAATAAAATTTAAAATTTCTTTACTTAAAGCTACATTAGAAAAATTTGACATGAAAAGACCTGCTCAACTGACATACTAAAATGTGATGTAAGGGTTAGCACTAACCTAAAAAATGAAAAAATAGTTTGCAAAAGAGTGTGTAAAAATCCTGTAACTATTGCTCATGAATCATGAGAAAAAATACAATTGCTAGTATTAAACATTGTTACCAGCAGAAAGAAACTTTCTACAATTTATTCTATTTGCTGAAAAAAAATTGTAAAAAAAGCGGATGACTGGTGAACTAAAAGATTTCATAGAATAGTGACAAAAAGCGTTGGATCGAAGCACGTGTTTTCACTGAATACTTTGACCATATTGTTTAATAGTTAAAAGACACTTTAAAACTTGTTTTGTTTATCTTTGATAATCATGAATCATGTTTCTTTAAAAAAGCAATTTAAAATCATAACTATTTTATATTTATTCGCATTTGCTACAGCCACTTGACAAGGAAGTCTTATGCCAATTTTAATCTGTATGGTGTGAAATTCTAGCTATTAGTATGCAGAGACTGAAGGCGGTTAAGAAGTCTTGGGAAGTCATGTACATTCATCTTTATTAAAAAAAAATTAAAAAAATTATGATACATCCTTTAAGCTAGCTCATTTAGTACAATCATTTGTCAAAACTAGAATTTTTCCCTTTGATCCATTAGCAGGTGAACTCAATGAGTCATCTACTCTTCGTCTTCTAGAATTAACTCTGATCTTTCTCGGAAACCATATATCAAATCCGTTGCAAAATTAGCATCTGCAAAAGTTGCATCTCTTTATCGAGCTCGACACTTTCTTACTTTGGAATCTATTCTCTATCTCTATAGATCTCAAACCTGGCCTTGTATGGAATACTGTTGCCATACCTGGGGCAGATCTTCTAATGATGCCCTTTTTCTTTTAGACAAGGTGCAAAAACGCATTGTAAACATAGTTGGACCTGCTCTTGCACCCAACCTTCAACCATTATCATATCGTCGTAATGTTGCTTCTCTTTCTCTTTTCTATAAATACTAAAATGGGCACTGCTCTAAAGAGCTAGCATCTCTTGAGCTATCTACTAAAATTCACTCTTGTGTTACTCATCATTCAATTAAGTCTCATCTTTTTTCTGTTAGTGTTCTTAAGTGCTTTAAAAACTCTTACTTGTCTAGTTTTTTTCCTCAAACATCAGTTCTTTGGAATTCGCTTTCTTTATCTTGCTTTCCTGATATATTTCCTATAAAATGTAAATATAGAGCTAGGGCAAGTAGAAGAAAAATTCACTCTTATCGCCAACCTCTGCCACTTTATCATAACGTTTTTAATATTTCTTTTAACTTTTCTACAAATGCTACTATGGTCACTGCTTAAGCAAGCTATCATCATGTTCTAATACATAAGCTAATTATCATGTTCTAAATGATTTTGTCGTGACTTGTCACATGACTTGTCACTCAGCAAAAACTTTTTACTGTAAATAATTTATGCTTTTTTTATCTTAATTAATATATATATATTTTTTGAACACAAGTGCTTTGTTTGTTCCACTTTAGTTTCCTGGCTTAAAAAATTTATTAAGTTTATATCTTTTGTTGTTTACAATTATTTATTTACTACTTCCTCCCAATATGGTCGTTTGTAGCCTCCCACCTGTAGCTTTGTTGGAAATGAATTTTTTTATTTTAGATAAAGTCAAAGTTAATACTTTGATTTTTTTGGATTCCAAATTTATTTTAAAACAGCACTTTTTAAATTTTTAAAATTTTTTAAAATAAATTTGTGTGTTATAACTTAACAGTATTCTTGCTACAAATTGTCCAATATTTATTAAACTTTGGATTAGTCCAAAATTTATTAAACTTTGGATCAGTCCAAAATTAAATTCAGGTCAAAACATTTTTTAACAAAAAGTTTTTGAACAAAACTCAATTAAAATAAAATTTAAATTTGTTAGAAATCAATTTAACTCTCTGGCCCACTGTGAAATTAAAAAAGAAACCAATAAATTAAAAACTTTATATTCAAAAAAATATTAAATATAAAAAGTAATACACATAATAAACTTGAAAATTAAAAAAAATTTATAACATACAGTTCTGCTTTAATATCTGTTAGTCTTGAACGCAAATCATCTATAGTGAGCTTAAAAAAGTTTTCATCTGGTTCTAAAAAGTTAAAATGTTTTTTATGCAGAAACTCTCACCATTTTAATATGAAACTTAATAAAAAAAAATAAACTGATGAGTTTCATATCATAAATGCATCATTAAAAAACATGAACCACTTCAAATTTTGATGAAACAGGCTCTATGCATAATGAAGTAAAAAACTTAGATGCAATATTTAATGTAGTTCTTAAATATTTCAGTAAATTAGAGTTCTTTATCAACAAAAAAAACACAGAACAACAAAAAAAAACACACAGAACAACAAAAAAACTTTTGAACAAAGAACTCAGGAATACTTTTCTGCAAATCAAGAAACTACTTGAGTTTAAACAATAAAAAAATTAAGTTTGATTTTGTTATATAATTAGTTTTTAAATGTCGCATGTAGCAAGAATTTTTTAATACTAAATTAAATAGTGCTCTTGTAAAATATCTGATTGCAAATAGCAAAAAAACATTTATCTAAAGATAAAGTGGTTAGGTCAAAAATGTAAGTTGCAAGAGATTCATCAAATAAACTATTTATGTAATCAGTTAAAAAATTAATAATCAGTTGTCAAAGAAATGCAGCAATTATACTCACAAAATTATACTCACAAAATATACTCACAAAACTAAACTGCAAAATCATCAGAAGCACCACTAATTGAAACATTTTTGAAATTTATTGCAATCATATTTAATTATACCTATTATAATTATATACAGAGTTCTTTAAGACAGACAAAAGTTTTTGGAAAACAACACATACAAAGGTTTTAAGACTTATTTTTATATGCGCTAAGCCAGCAAAATTCTTTAAAATCCAAAACGGAAGATTGTTGAAAAATTATTCTATATGTAAATACTTGATTAAAAATAGTCAACTTCTATTTTATCAGAATTATCATGCAATCAATTAATGCCATAATATTAGAAAAAATAATTCTGAATAAATTAATTATCAAAGTTTACCAGCTTGTAAGTTTCCTCTTGTTTCATCTTCCATAGAAGAAGATTCTTCTGAAGAATTTTCTTTATTAAAAGTTGACATTGAAAAAACCACAGCTTCACGATCACAAGGCATTGACATGAGGACTTCATCTCGACTGAGAAAACAAAATAGTAGCATAATTAATGATGCAATATTACATCCAATTAATTTTTTATTCTAATTCACTCCCAACAAGGCTGAAAGTAACCACTATTAAGTTGGGAGTTACTAGGAAAAAAAATAGAGTTATAGAGCAAGGAAACAGTTGACAGAAGACTTGAAAAGTTGTAGGTTGTTGTGAGTCAGGAAAACATGAAGATGAGAGAGAGTTCCAAAGGGTTGAAGTGCAGAGGAAAAAGTAAACAAATAAAAGATTTTAGAGCATGCAGGGACAGATACAGTAAATGAATGAGACTTAGCTGAATGACAAGTCAAAATAGAATGAGTTTTGATTGATGGAACTACTTTGAGCAGCAACCATGATCGTATTTGTACAAAAGAGAAAGACATGCAATTTTACAACGATGGGAAAAAGGCTCAAGCCTTGCAGATAAAGCAGATCTAACTATGTTTATAATAAGTTTTTGGACTTTGTCTGAAGAAAAGCATCATTAAAAGAACCAACCCAAACATGACAACAGCATTCCATACAGATAAGAATAAGAGATGTAGAGGTAGAGAATGGAATCTGAAGAGAGAAAATGGAGAGCACAATAAAGAAAAGCAACCTTAGTGAATGCTAATTTAGCAGTTAATTATGTATATGATTTCCATGAAAGGTCAGTAGTAAATGATAATCCAAAAAGAAGTAAAGAAGAGGACTCAGTGAGAGGGTTGCCATTCATTAATATAAGAATGAAAGACTGTTTTGTAAAAGGTGTTTGCAGTAAATATAGGGTGAGTCAAAAAAAGAAGTAGGAGATAAAAAATTTATAGAGATCATTGCATCATCAGAACCCCTTAAGGGAGAAAAGGGAGAAATTGAATACAAGCTAGGATCAGGGACAAGACATAATTCAAGGAGTGAAGGTAAATGATTAGGGTTGTCATCAAAGCAAGTCACGAAGTTAACTATCTGAGTAAGAGATTGAGAAATGCAGAAGTTAGAGACTTTAGTGCCAGCAGGGTCAGTGGTGTTAGAACCAAGCCATTCAGTGTGAAAAGCATTAAAGTCACCAATAACAACAACATTGGCAGAAGGGAAAAGTGAGAGAGAATGGTCAATTCGATCAGAAGTTATATCTGAAAGAGCGCAGTTTTGGGAAGAAGGAGTACAATAAAGAACAAAGTTGATAGAGTGAAGAGGTGCTAAGCGGAAGAATGGTCAAAGTATTCAAATCTAATTTCACAACAAATAGGTTAATTGATGTGTATGTATACCCCTAAGTCAAGCATGTGACTATTGCGAATCAAAGGATAGTACCCATCAACACTGAGATCTGAAGGAAAAGCGGAATTCGAATTAGTCTTACTAGGAGCAAGCAAGTCTGGTAAATTTCGCAAGAGGTAAGATTCAACTGATGGAAGGTTGCTTCACAGACCACAAAGATTTCTAAAAGATATATTAAAAAAGTTAGGTGGTGAGTATGGTTTTTTATATTTAAAATTTTGGGTTACTTTTGGCATGATTTAAGTTTGATTAGAACTTGAGTCACTCGTAGATAGAGCACACCTCCTAATGAGCTAGTCTTAACATAGGGCTCCTTATGTAGCCTCCATAATGCGTAACAAAGGCATTTACAGGGACACCATCCATGCGCAACATGGCACTGTAAATACTTTGATATTTTGCAGCTGTTGATGGAATCTGCCTCCAAACAACTCCACAAATCTTTGGACTTGTTTGAAAGGTTAAGTCCACAAGACAAAATGAGAAAGACCTAACATGTTTAAAAATTAATTGGAAGAATCAAGTATTGTTTTAAAAAGTCATTTCAGAGGAAGCTTTTAAGCTTAACTAAAAGAAATTAAATTTTTATTACAATAAAAAATAATATTACAGGGCTCAAATTAAATGTGGATCACAAATTGCAATAGCTTTTCACATCTTCACAATTAGTTTTTTCTTTAAATAAATATTTTCACGATTTTTTTTTAATGTTCTTTTCTGTTTTCTAATTTAGCATTTTTTTGACCATTTAAAAAAAAAAAAATTTTATCTAAGTTTTTATTAGAAGTCATCAAGTACGTCACGCTAAACTCATCTTTTGAATAAAAGTATGACCACTTGCTCTCTTGCACAGAGATTTTTATTCAACATAAAGTGCTTTCGAATTAAAATTACTTTAAATCTCTGCATAAAAGCCAATTATATTTTTAAGTTATATTTAGTTTGATTTACTTAATGGATAAATGTATACCACACTAAATTTACCTATAAACTCAAAACAACCAGTTAAGTTGCTACAGTTAAGTTAATCAACTAATTGACTTAATATATTCAAAAACTCGCAAATGTTTGCCTTGCAAATGTTTCTATTTATATCTTAGAAGGTTGTTTAAAAATTATTTTAACAAATAATCTCAAATAAATTATGACAAACGCGATACCATTTTTATATATTTTTATTTTATTTAAAGCGATATCTAGATTAAACATTTTTTATAAATAAGCAGGTTGTTTTTAGAAATTTTATTTAAAAAGAAATCTATTTGAACAAAAGAATGTTAGTCTTCTTAAATTCTCTTATTCAAATAATTTTGTGATTGAAATTAGAAATTAAAAAATAATTTAATACCCAGATGCATTACTGAACGTTAAATGATGATTAGTTAAATGCAGAAATGCAGAAAGTTAAATGCAGTAACAATATCAAATTTATAAGAACATAGTGCAAGGGAGAAAGAAAGTTTTATTTAAATCATAAAGATTTTGAATAGAGTTTTTAGTTAATTATTATAGTTAAAAACTATTATAGGTTTTCTAGTTAATAATTTTTTGTTTCTTAAAAATAATTTGTAACCAGTGATTACAGCAAACATTAAACCCAAATTAAATTAAAAAAAATAAACTATTTTAAATTACTTTCTAATTAAAGAAATAAAATTCAATTTATTAAACTACGTTTTTCTCTCTCACTTTTTTATAAAACCACGTTTTTCTCTCTCACTTTTTTTTATTAAACCACGTTTTTCTCTCACTTTTTATTACAAAACAATTTGAAAAAAACGCAAATATTGCAATATTTTAATCACTTTAATTAGTCATTGAAAACTATTCATTACGTTCTTACTGACAATAAAACAGGTATTTTACTGTGTTATTATGTGTTAACAATATTTAAGATATAAATAGAAATATTTATATGGGCAATTTTTTCAATTCTTTGAGTTAGTTTAAATTTTATAGTTGAATAACTGTAAGTTACTGCAGTAACTTAACTGGTTGTTTTGATTTAGTTTAAAGGTAATTTTACTGAAATTTTATCCACTCACTAAATCAAACTAAATATAACTTTAAAACAATAAAAAACTTCCACGCAGAAATTTAAAGTGATTTAACTTCAAAAGCTGTTGAATCAAATCTGACACCTAATAAAAATAAAAATAAAAAAAATAAGAAAAAAAAAATAACAAAAAACAAAAACAAAGTTAAAACAAATTAGGAAACAAAGAAACAAATCACGAAAATATTTTTTTAAAGAAAAAACTAATCGCAAAGGTGTGAAAAACAATTGCAATTCACGATTGCAACATGCTTAATTCGAGCCCTGCATTACTAACATTATAAACTGAATAAAACAGTTTTAGAAAACAACAGTTTTAGATTAACACAACAGTTTTAGATTAACACAACAGTTTTAGATTAACATAACAGTTTTAGATTAACACAACAGTTTTAGATTAACACAACAGTTTTAGATTAACACAACAGTTTTAGATTAACACAACAGTTTTAGATTAACACAACAGTTTTAGATTAACACAGCAGTTTTAGATTAACACAACAGTTTTAGAAAACAACAGTTTTAGATTAACACAACAGTTTTAGATTAACACAACAGTTTTAGATTAACACAACAGTTTTAGATTAACACAACAGTTTTAGATTAACACAACAGTTTTAGATTAACACAACAGTTTTAAATTAACACAGCAGTTTTAGATTAACACAACAGTTTATATTAACACAACAGTTTTAGATTAACAAAACAGTTTTAACACAACTTGTGCTAATTTACAATAATATAAAAAGCTCAAATTTTTTTTTTTAAATTTGCAACTTTTTTGCGTTAATTCCCTGTAATAAAGAAAGAAAAGAATTATTCAGCAATATAATGAAAAAATAAAGTTGATATTAAAAAAAAAAATTCTTGAATTTTAATGTCTTATTATAGTTCCATTTTTGATGGAACACGCATTATTTTTAGGGAACACCCATTGACTTTAGGGAACACCCATTATTTTTAGGGAAAACTTATTGTTACTAATTTTTAAAGTTATAGTTTAAGAATAAAAACTTGAAAAAAAAGTAAATATTAAACAATGATTTAAATAACTCACATCTGGTCTGGATCAATAACGTCTAAATCTTTGTCACTAGAATCAGGAAACTAATAAAATATCAGGAAATAATTAAAAACACACAAATAAACAATTCACAAACATGAAAACTATAATAATTTATTATTAATAAATTAAAATAAAATATGACAGTCTTACTTTAAAGTTGGAAAACTCAGTTTTTGTTTTATCGATAAAGGTAGAAGAAAAATGAGAATCGTATGTACATTCAGATAAAACAGGTGAACTTGATTCAACCTCATCTGGAAATATTTTATATTGAGGGGATTTAGGTAAAATAAGATTTGATGTTTCCAAATCAGAATAACTTTCATTAGTTATTAGAGATGGAACTTCGGATGAACTAGTAGACAAAGCTGCAGACAAAACAGTAGCTGAAACAGTAGATGAACCACTAGACAAACCAGTTGCAGAATCACATCGCTTCACCTTTTTTGAGTTGGGCTCTTATAAAAATAATACATCAATCTGTATTTTTATATTTACAATTTACTTGACAAAAATTTTATTAAAGATTTAAAATTTGAATAAGTTTAATAAATAAAAATGACCATTTTAAAGTAACAAAGATTTATGTTGCATTGCCCTAAAAAGCACTTTTTATTTAAAAAATAATAAATTACTAAAAAAAATTAATACAAAATGCTTACTTGCTTAAACAAAAATAAACTTAAACAAACAAACAAAAAAAGTGTTTAAACAAACATTCAACTCACTATAATAATTTATAAAAAAACTATAGATATAAGTTGTTAAAGAAATTTTTTTTCTTTCTTTTTTTAAACGAAATCTCGTTCATTGAAGAAAAATTGATAGTTTAACCATTTTAAACCAATTTAGAATATAATTGAGCTAGTCATCCAGAAGCAATGCTTACCTCAAAATTACTTAAAATAAAGTAAACTAGATAAGAATGAATCTTATTTCAAAGTAGACATGAAAAAGATATATAAGATACCTATGATATATAGATTTTAGATGATGATGATATATAGATTTTAGGTGCTATAAAACCAGTGTTAAATAGTTGCAATAGAAATAAACACAGTAACCATAGCCACAGTAAATTGTCAATTATCATTGAGAAGTTTATTATGCATGTATTGGATTGGTAAAAATTTACGAATAAATTTAAAAAAACTCTTGCTTCACTTTTTATTGCAAATTTAAATTTGATTTCAAATTTAAAAAATTTTAAAACCCAATGTTGTGTTAACCTTGCCAGTGATACAATAATGGTGAAAAACTTGTAACTAACTAATATCAGATAGTTCAGATAAGGATTAAGATGAAGGATGAAGAAAGATAGTTCAGATGAAGAATGAAGATGAAGAAAAAAATAGATAATGATAATAAACCATTTATTGCTTCTATTCAATCAATAACAAAAAAAAGCTGTCTACAAAATTAGCTGCCACCATAAAAGCTGCCACCATAAATAATAAGCTGCCACCATAAATTCCCTAAATTGTACTAAAATGAGTATATGTATGCTACCATTGGATTCTGTGTTGAAGCAAAGTTAGCTGGTGAAACCTTTTCACCACATTCCCTACCTTCAAAATGCATAGTGCATCATTACCATTAGAATATTAACATGTACGCTGAGTAAACAGAAAAATACTAAGATGCATTAAAAACTGTTGCCCACTGGAACAAAAAAATTATAGCCAATATCTCTGCCAGGTCAACTCTCATTGATTGTCTACCTGTCTTACTTGTGTCAGCTGCAGATGATGTTTGAAAACTTCTTAGAGTGCCTGCATTGCTTAGACTGGGCAAGACACAAGTGCTGCTATTTTCTCAGCAGCTCATGTCTTGGCAGAAAAAAACTTCATTATTAAAATGTATTTCGATATCACAGCAAGCAAGACAACAAGGAAGACAACAGGAAGCAAAACAGCAAGAAACACAGCAAGCAAAACAGCAAGCAACACAGAGCAATATAATAATAGTTAATAAAACAGTTTGCCTAAATGATTTTAATTAAATCAAAGACAGTTTAAAATCCTTCATAAATGGTAAGCTAACTCAGAAACATCTGCAAAATGATTACCTGAATTTTCTATAGCTGGCTGGCTATATGATCAGGTCCTAAATTGAAGCACCTTTTAGGAGAATAAGTACCGAACTTTGAGCCAAAGCATTTAGGCATCAAGCCTTTTAACAGATTAGTGGAAGTCTACATTCAAGTTTTCATGCAGCACATCAGTGTATGCACTCATAAACACCATTAAGTTAATTAACAGAATAAAAATCTATGATGACATAGCCATAGATAAAATTGTATGTTGCATAACTTTATGTTAAAATTTATGCAATTTAATTTTTGATTAGATAATTTGGAATTAAAATAAATTAAAGTTGCGTTTAAACAAAAGTTTTGTGTAAATGTTTGCTTCTGATTTACTTTGCTAAAAAATACTTGGCAATTATTTTTGTAAATTAAATTTAGATAAAAATGATTAAAATTGAAAAATATTGCAACAAGATTAATTCAAAAATTCAATTAAATCAAAATTAATAAACTTCTATAGAGATCTTCCAGTAATTGAAAATTTTTTATTTTTATATATGAACTATATATAGTTATATAACAGTATAGTTCATATATACGCATCAAAAAACTTGGATGATTGTATCATTCTTGGAAACATTGTTTTGCAAAAGTTAATTATCAATTTTTTTAAAATTTTGCTATCAAAATTTAGCTTCAAAAGAAAATAGAATACCAAAATTTAGCTTCAAAAGAAAATAGAATATCAAAATTTAGCTTCAACAGAAAAGTATTATGGGTTTGGAAAAAACATACAATAATGGAATAACTGATGTATTACATTTTTAACCTGATTTTTGCAATTTATAAAACAATTACAAATAACATTGAACTTAAGCATCAGTTTTCGGAAATACTGTTGATTACAAAAATTCCTTGTGGTAATATACTTAAATACCCTAAACATTGTAAAATCAAGATTCAGGTAATTTAAAATTATTTCGGAAAATGTGTCTCATTGTTAAAAAATTTAAAAATGTAAAATACAGTCGGAACCAGTGACAGAAACAACTGAGACAGAGCAAGTAAGCAAAAAAAAACTGTAAGCTTATATCTTAAATTATATCTTAGCTTGCTTAAAATCACGAGGCAGCCCATTTAATTGCAAATCAGCAATCCAAAAAATCCAAAAAATATTAACTTTAAACCCCGCTCTCCTTTCTACAGTTAAATATAAATGCAGTACAAGATAATATGCAATTCATAGAAGAAAGATTAGAAATATAGAGTCAGAATAGAATAAAAATAATAGCGACATCAACTTCTAGTTGTAGGTCCTAGTGAACATAATTATGATTATTAGCATTAAATTATTAAATCATGAACATGAAGAAGACGAACATGAAGAAACATTGCAATGTTTATGCATTTGTTTAAAACTTTAAAAAAAATCATACCAACAACATGAGCACTTTCACTTTCTAAGACAGCATCATCACGAAAAAGCAATCTATAAATTAAAAACAAATATAAAACATAATAATTTTTAAAATGATTTATATTTCTATTTATTTACAATAATTCAAGATTGAAGAAATGTCAATCTTTTGCTTTGTGTAGTATTTTTTGTAGTAGTTTTGCTTTGAAGGTTAACAGATGGAGCTTGTGATTTTTCTTTTAATATTTCAAAAAAAAGATTTTTTATCTCATTATTTATATGCACAACTATTACATTCTGTTTACTCTTATGGATTCAAATATCCTAACTTGAGCAAATTTAAATACAAATGTTTTTATTGTTTTACTTTAGAGAATGTTTGTGTAATTTTGAATATTGTTCTTATTGGGTGGACATGGAATCTGGTCAACTTAAAATTGAGTTTTCTCTAAAACCACAAATGCTTTTAATTTATTTTATTTTTTTAATTAAACGTTACTTCCTTATTTTTAATTGTGTTGATAAACTTTTGTTTACAAATCAATGATTTGCAAAATGTTTAGAAACAAAACAGGTGCATAAAAAAGTTGAGAATTTTTTTTGACAAAACCCATCAACTTCATATTGCTTTATTGTTAAACGTATATAATATAAATATAATATATATAACGTATAAATATAATATATATAAACATATATAATATAAATATAAATGTCCCAAAATCTACAGTCATAGATATTATAAATAAGTTTAAGACTACTCGAAGCTTCAAAAGAAAACCTGGAAGTGGAAGAAAGAAATCTTTCATTAAATCCAAAAAGGTAAAGTCGATTCTTAGTTCAATAGCAAGAAATCTGAATCAGTCACAGCGGGATCTAGCTAGAAAATTCAAGTCTTCTCATTCTTATATCAAGAAAAATTTGCATCTAAACTCCATGTGTGGCAAGAAATTTGTGTGGTATGCAGACCTCTGGTTTTGTCACTAAGAAGACCTTGACTGCCAATCTCTACATCAAAAAATACATCCAAAAAAGGCTTTTGTCATTTATGAACAAACACAAATACTGATGTCTCTTTTGGCCAGATCTTGCTGCTTCTCACTATTCTAAAAAAGTTCAAAAGTGGCCCAAAGATAATGTGAAAATTGTTCCTAAAGATGCGAATCCTCAAAATCGTCCTAAAGAGCGCAAGATTAAAAATTTTCGGGCAATATTTAAAGGAGTTCTTTGTAAGGCAGGTGGAGTAACAAAAAATAAAAAGAACTTCCAAAAAAAGTGGATTAATGCCACCAATAAAATAAAAAAATAAAAAATCTGCAAAATGATGACATCAACCCGCTATAAAATTCGATTTCTTGCCAAACAGCCCATTAAGCCCCTCAAAGTTAAGTTGAAACCTTAATTGATGTAAACACATTTAGTTAAAAAAAAAAAATTGAAATCTAAAGCATTTATGGTTTTAGAGAAAATTTTTCCGTATCCACTCGATATATAGTTTTGTTATTTTCTACTCAAAAAAATTAAATTAAGATAAATTGAAACTAACAAAAAAATTGAAAGCTTTATTTCCTTTTTTATTTTTCAGGTATATTTTTTAAATAAAAAAAAAGCATAAGCATCAATTTATTGACCAGAAAAGAATTGGTGATAGTGTTTGCAATTCTGGAGTTATCAGGGAATTTTTCATATTTCTTAAATTATTTATTTTCAAATTTAAAAAAAAAAATTTAAAAGTAAGACTAAATGATACTTTAAAACTTTTTTAAAAGAAAATATAAAAAATAACAGTGAAAATAACAGCTTGTTTTTTATTAAAAAAAAAAATTATATTTCTTGTTTTGATGTGGAAATTGTGTGGAGAAATTTGTGCCAACCGTACTTAAGTACTTCCAAACTTGAGTTCTGAAATAAATAATGTTAGCAGAAAAGAGCATTGAACTATTAAAAAATACTTTAAAAGCATTGTCTTAATTTACACAACAACATAGTGGGTTTAATGACAAATAAAGCATAGCGCTTTGAAAAAAGTCACCAGGTTACTAGTTATTTATCAATAATTATGTTTTGCCCAAGTGATTTCTTCTAGAAGAAAGAAATTGAGAAATATTTACTGAACTATATAGATAAAAATATAAAACTTCAAAATAAAATAACTAAAGTTACTTAAAGTTAGTTAAATATGGGTCAGATATAAAAAAGGTAAACAATAATATAGAACAATAATAATATATAAAAGAAATATATATATATATATATATATATATATATATATATATATATATATATATATATATATATATATATATTAGAGTGGTGCAAAATATATATATATATTTTCTTTGATGGTACTATTTTATTTTGTGACATTATTTGTATTAATAATAATTTTTCTTTACATTCTCCTAAAAAAAAAGGTAAACAATAATATAGAACAATAATAATATATAAAGGAAATATATATATATATATATATATATATTATATATATATATATATATATAAAGGTAAATAATAATATATAAAGAACATCTTACAAAAATATATAAAAGAGTTTAAAAAACAAATACCATTAATTTTGGACTGCAAGAGAAGAGGGACCTTCTACCAATACTTTTGTGTAGAAATTTTTATCAAGTAAAAAAACAATTTATAAAAAAGGATTAATTGATATTTACTTAATCCAATATACCTCTATCAAATGATGAAGTAACAATATTATTTCAAATCTAATTCCTATACAAGCAACATAAAGAACACTTTTTTGCTGGGATATTACCCTGTTTACAGCTAACACTATCTAATTTTATGCTAATCAAATTAAAAGACCCCAATAATAACACACAAAAGAGTTTGCATGCAATTTAAATGTTTTGTATATATGAATGTTTTGTATATATGAATGTTTTGTAATGATGAACTGATTAGCAGATTTCTGCAATAACTGATGAGTGGACTTTTCTGCAATGTTCAAATTGAGGAAGCAATAATAACCTTCATTTAAAAGTCAAAAACTATTAGCAGAAGTGCTCTAAAGCCTGCTTTCAATCTTTAGCATCACTTCTGATACACTCAATAAAACTTAAGAATGAATAACTTTAATTAACTTTAGTAAATTGCAAAATACAAACTTACCTAATGACTGCTCTTCCCTGTAGGATTCCCATTGATTTTAATGTTGTTCCAGCTAAAAGACTTAATCCTTTGTACTAAAATTAAAAAAATTAAACAAGTAATTAACTGTCGATTACAACTGTTAACTGCAAAAATAACTTTTCGGAATAAATAAAAAATAAATAGTTTAAATTCCTTATAATAAATTAATCTATCAATCATTATAAATACCATAAACCACTATATTAAAAACTAATAATTAACTGTTTCTGACTTATTCCGAAGAATCTAACATTAATAACATTAAAAAATAATGTTAAATGTACACATGAAAAACCTCATTAATAACATTATAGCAAAACAACCTTGAATAATAAATTGACTGAGGGTTTAGGTCTGGTCAGGTACAGTCTAGATGTAAACTTTTGTTTTCTTTATTTCTATTTTTTTTAAATTTGTTTGATTTTAAAGTTTACATTTCACAAGTTAGGGTGTGCAAGATATAGTAGCACACCTATAAAACAGGAAGTTGTAGGGCTCCAGTATGCACTGAATATAACTTATATATAACTATTTCTGAACTCCAACAATTATTTAATGTAATGCAATCAAAAAGCTTGAAAATATTTTTTACAAATAGGCTTAAATAAAGAAAAATATGAAACAACAAATGAAAATTTTTTTTTGGTAAGAAATTGATCAAATTTTTGATATAACACATACTGATGCCATGATTTTTTGCACCACCCTAATATATATATATATATATATATATATATATATATATATATATATATATATATATATATATATAAACAGCGTTGAAAATGGCCGGTCAACAAAAAATCAGAGTTTTGAAAACTAAAATTTCATAAAATTATTTATATTTTAAAAAAGCATTTAAAATAGTTTATAACATGCTTAAATTTGCTTCGTTGACGAATATAAAACGTTAACTATACCATTATTTTTTTTGCTTCATATTTTAAAATAATTTTCATTTTATTGGTAGTTGAAAACCTTTTTTTCATGAATGATTGAAGTTCTTATTTTATTGTTATTTTAATAAAAATATTTAATTTATAATTTTCATAATAATATAAAAATAAATAATAATTCCTTTATTAAACTAAGAACATTTTTTCATTTAACTGTACTTATTCACTTTTTTTTCTTTGATTCTTTTTTTTTTTGTAAGTTTTTGCTGCAAATGTAGTGAATAAATGAATGATTTATAGATAAATTTAAATTTTCTATAATAGGGTTCTTAAAAATAAATTTTTAAAAATCTTTTATGTAAGTAGTTTTTACAGCAGTATTTCATAAAACGACTATATAACGTTTTATAACAATTATATAACGATTATAAAACAAATTAGTATTAAGTATCAAGTTTAAATCTGCATACGAGAGTATTAGGTATCTGTATAATTATCTGTATCAAGTATAAGTTTAAATAGTATCTGCGCAAAAGAGTGACATCTGCGCACAAGAGTGACTTTATTAACAACTAATTAAAATTAAGCAGTTTTTAAAAATTTTGCAGAGATAAAAAAATTATTTTATATCTCTGTTCATTAAAATCAGAGATAAAATTATTATTTGTATATAACTGAGAACATTTTCTCTTCCAACTGTACTTTTTTCTGGTTATTGTTTTTTGTTTTATTTAACTTTTTTTATTCATTCTTTTTATTGATTTTTTTTGTAGCTTTTTCTCACCAATTCAAAGTCATTGCAACGAATTTATTTTTAAATAAATTTAAAATTATTAATTGCGCCTTGGCTCATTTTTTTTTTTTTCTAATATTGAATTATAATAAAATAATCAAACATCTATCTTAATGGAGACAAATAAAAAGAGACAAAAAACACTTTTCAGTCACATTTAATAAAAAATCTTTTTATAGTATTAAATCAATCCTCTTTGTAAGGTCATTGTAGATAATGATCATGTTTTTTTTAATCGTTGAAAAAAAAAAAGGAAATGAAGAAAGAAAATCAAAAACTTAAAAAGAGTTAATTGATTAAATAAAAAATTCAAGAAACCAAAAGAAAACCAAGAATAAAAAAAAAAGCCATATTATGAAAAAGAAACACTTAAAAAATAAACTCTTAAAAAACAAACAAAAGAAAATTCGAACATCGACATTTCACAGACATTTTTATAATTTTTATTTTTGTCATTGTTGCATTTACTATTTTTATCATATTTTTAATACTACACTTTTATTTTTATTTATATTACTACAATTTATTACTAGATTACTTATTTTTATATATTATAATATTTAGTATTTATTTAAACTATTGTTATTATATTTTTAATTTACATTTTTCTTTTATTTAGCTTTATTTATTCATTTAACCATTTATTTACCAAGGTATGGTAACTTTTAAAATTGTTAACATTATTGACATTTTTTTTCAACATCTGTTTTATAGAATGAAAAAACATTAAAATATTTTTAAAACGTTTTGTTGTTGCCGTGGAAATAAATTTGGGACTAATAAGTCCCGCCGGGTATGCCATGTCAACGCCACCCATAAAGGTATTGTAATCTTATATGGAAACAGGGTAATTAAAATCTTTTCTTGTTCCATCTTTCTGTGTTCTTAAAACAGTTGCATGTTCTGTTCCATGAAAATTAGACAATATGGCCACAGATTTGTTATCTTTCCATTTTTAAAATACCAATCCTCCAGCAGAAACCTAATGGTCAGTAATAAGTAACTTCTTTGAAGCACTTTATCAGGTTTTTGGGCAAGTATTTCCTGTCCGAATGTATTGTTCCACAACAATAGACTTTATGTTTTAATAGGTATTCCATTAATGGAACAGTGGTAAAATAGTTGTCAAAATAAACCTGATGATGTTTTCCGTGCAAAGGCTTTGTTAGTTGGTACATGCCAGATACACCTAATCCAAAATGCTTGGGCATTGAATCAGCACTGTGAACTTTGTTTTTACCTTGATAAACTTAGCAGTGATACATATATCCATCTATGTCAGCAATGACCCACAATTAAAAACTTTGTTTTATAGGTTTCATTGCATTTTATTGTTTTAAAATGCTCCGACCTTTTGAAGAGAACCATACTTTCATCTATGCTATTAATCAATTTGTACAATTTTTCTTTATTATTATTCAGTTCAGCAGCATTATCATTCACATGAATATTGCTTAGAATTTGAGCGAAACTCTTGCAATGAAACATTTAGAACAGTCTTCATGCTTTGCGTTATATATAGATTGGTTTGATAAAGTATGTTCTGTTGTATTTCATTGTCAAAATAAGAAAAATAGTAATCAATAGAATTTTGACAATCAGAAAAATGGTCTTTGACTGGACCTTCGTGAGATGAAAATGGACAATTTGGTTTTTAGTCTTTTTACTCCATTTACGATCAACATTATAATCCTCTTGGTCAATGCTGATGTCTTCTATGCTACTTTCTGAATCGTTGGAGATCTCTGTTTTATTTTTGACAGGTTCCAGTAATTTTAAAGCATCTGATATAAATTCATCTTCAAAATCACTTGACTCCATGCCCTCACTAAAATTACTAGGGATTTCCTCTATAATGGAGCGAGCAGTTTCTTGGGGTGTAAATAACTTTTTATTTGACATTTTTTATTAAACTAATAAAAAAGTATGAAAAAAATACAATATAATCATAAAAAAACTAAAGAATAAAAGTTGATATTTTTTTGTCAATTTTGAGCCAGGACATAAAAGTCCCACAACAACAATTTACAAAAATATAACATAAAAATGCAATAAAAACTCAACGTAAAATGCAATCAAAACAACATAAGTATTTATTTACTATAATAAACATCAACAAACATATTAAAGGTTGAAGATACACTATTTTCAAGTCAAGAAAAAAATTTATTAGAACTGTAAGCTTTAGTAGACATTGTAAACAAAAATATGTGCTTTTGAACAAAGACTTTAATGATATTTTTTTATATCAAGATATTAGAAGGTATATCTTTTAATTTCTATAAATAAATACCAATGACAAACACTCTTGCTGAAAAATATAGCCACTAACTTCCAGCGGGACTAATAAGTCCTGTCAGTAAACAAAGGGTTAATTTGATTTTATAACTTTCTTCAATATTTTTGTTTTTATTATACTTAACTATTAGTGTGGCTGTTGCGTTATTGTTTAAACTGCTGTTACTATTGTTATTTATTATAACTGTTAGTATTTTGATGTTGTAATTGCTTATTCCTTATAATCTATTCATTTGTATTATAATAGCATAGCTATTAAACACAGCTAACTTCCTATTTATTGTTTATTACATCCTCTCTAATATGCAGCTCCACTATGGGTTTAAATTGTCATTTGTGTAAAAAAAAATTAGTCAAATATGCCGCTCAACTCAATGTAATATTTGTTTAATTTGCTTGTTGCGGCATTGTGTAAACAGCACTAAAAGTATCTTTCCACTCACAGATGTACCAGAACTTAAACTGCTGTTTTCTTCTGATAAAATCCTTAAAACTGATGATACAAACCTTTTCTTGTTTTTTTATTTAAATAAAGTCTCTAATCAAATTAATAATTAGGTTTTATCTCATGTTTTAGATTCCAAAGAAATTTTTTTTTCTTCATTATACATAGTTTGTAAATATTATGACATAAGCAAATTATACACACTTAACTTTGATAAAATAAAAGCCCTCTCCTTATTTTATCTAAACATATCATTGTTACATAAACACTACGAATTTAAACATAACACTATCATTAATTAATTTTGATTTTTTCATTATTGGTGTAACTGAAACAAAGTTAAAAAAAAGGAACAGCCTCAATTCATCTGATTCTTATTGATAATTTAAACATTGAGCAAACACCAACAACATCCTCTTGTGGTGGTATATTATTATACTTATCAAAAAAACTAATATACAAATGAAGAGATGATTTAATGATTTACACATCTAATTGCTTTCATTACTTTGCCTACTAGAATTATTGATCAATCTGCTACAATTATTGATAATATTTAATAATATTTTCTCTAATTTAATAACTAATGAAATTATTCTGATCAAAAGGTATGTATTTGTCCCAATTTCAATAAATTATTTCTACCACACAGAGGCAATTATTTAGCAGGAGTTTTAAAAAATTTAATGAATAAAAATGTTGATTTAAACAGGGTGGCCACATAAAATTTTCATAAGAAAAAGAGGACATTTGAGGATTTTAGAGGAGATTTTGCATCGAATTTAGAGGATTTTTTCCGCAAAATTTCAAAATTTTGAATAAAAATAGAGGATTTTTTTTTATAACTATAAGTTTAATATTCATATTTCTACCTTTATGGGGTTTAGACAGGGGTCAATAATGTGATTTTGTATACAATATAATGGGTATTTTAAATACCTTTTATATGGTATACAAGGGTATTATAAATATCCAAATTATACTACCATCAAGAAATAAAAAAATTAAAAAGAGTTAAAGAGGAGATTTGATCATATTTTCAATTTTTTATAGGATAATAGAGGATTTTAGAGGAGGTTTTTTAAAAAAGAAGGACTTAAGAGGATTTTAATGGAGCTGTGGTCACCCTGTTAAACCATGGATTACAAAAAGAATTATTAAATCTATTCAATATTTAAAAAAGGCTCTAAACTTTCATCTATAACTATAGATTTATTTCTATCTATAGATCTAGATCAATAGTAAACTTCTTGAAAAACTTATGCATTCTAGAGTGTACTTTTTAATTAACTTTTAATTCTTTTCTTAACTTTTTAATTGTTTAAATGATTTTCAATTTATTTTTTGATCAAAACATCCTACTTGCCATGCATTAATAAGTATAACAGAAAAATTCAGGAAAGCTCTTGATACTGGTCGTTTCGTTTGTGGTATTTTATCGATTTAAAAAAAGTTTTTGATACTGTTGAGTATTTTGATTTCTAAATTAGAACAATATTGAATTTGCTGTATTGTAAATAAATGGTTTTGATCTTAATTTTCGGATAAAAAAATAATTTGTAGGTATTAATGGTTTTAATTCTAGTAATAAATCAGTTTTGTGTGGTGTTCCAAAAAGTTCTGTTCTTGGTCTTCGTTTGTTTTTAATCTACATTAACGACCTAACCAACTTTCTTCACTTCTCGCCAGTTCATTTGTTTGCTGATAATAGAAATCTCTTGCACATCATCAAACGGTATTATTATGTATAAATGTATCATTATGCAAAAGTATCATTATGTAAAAATGTAAATTCGTATAGTTATGCTAACCTAATATGCTAACCTAATAAGTCTTAACACCTAATGCTAACCTAATATGTCTTAACACCAAAAAACTAAACTAATTTTTTTTTTCATTTTCAAAAAAAATTATTTCTTCAAAAATGCTGAAATCAAAATCAAAATTAATTTTGATTTCAACATTTGAATTTGAAGACATCATCTCCACAACTTCTTTATGAAATTTGAAGACATTATCTCAACAACTTCTTTATGAAATTTGAAGACATTATCTCAACAACTTCTTTATGAAAAATGAAGACATTATCTCCACAACTTCTTTATGAAATTTGAAGACATTATCTCCACAACTTCTTTATGAAATTTGAAGACATTATCTCAATAACTTCTTTATGAAATTTGAAGACATCTTCACAACTTCTTTATGAAATTCGAAGACATTATCTCAACAACTTCTTTATGAAATTTGAAGACATTATCTCAACAACTTCTTTATGAAATTTGAAAGCAATATCTTAACAACTTCTTTATGAAGTTGATTTCAATAGGTTTCTGAATTGGTCTAAAATTGTTTTATTTATTTTTAAATAACTCTATTTTTTTGAAGTTGATTTTAATAGGCAACAATTCTATTTTTTTGAGGAAAAATTATTTTTAACTAATGTTTATCATGGTTTGCATGATGATGGAGTGTTGATTATTTATAATTGCTCCTGCGGAACCTTTGTGTTGATGAACGGTTGATTTATTGGAACTAATTTACTTATGTAAAGCTGTTAGTGACTTTAAAATAATTGATTAACATTCCTCTTGCATACTTAATACAAAAATATTATCTTGACTAACATTCCTATATCTCTTCTTTTATCAAAGGTGATTAACCAAAAAATTTAAGTCTTGATTCATAGTTAAATTTACATTAGTTTTACAGTAGATTTTCAATGCCTTTTTTCCTGTAAGGATTCCATCTTGAAGAAAACGTTTCAATGTGAGGTCTTACAAATGATGTGCACAAAATCTTTAATGATTTAACATTCCAATAAATGAAAGTTCTTTTAAACATTCCAAGAACAGAGTTTTTAATGCAGCTTTTTGGCATTGGATTTCATAAATCTTATACTGTATTTCTTAACCATTTATATAATATTTGTTTTTGTAAGTGTTATTATTGTTTACAAAACAGTTTCTACAAGAAAAAAACTTCATCCAAAACATCATACTAAAACTCTAATAAGTAAACAAACAAAAATTAAAGACCATGAAGTTGTCAGTTTAGTACTTCAATCTAAATCTAAAGTCAGGAATTATAGTGTCTTCTAATAGTCAGGAAATATAGTGTCTTTTAAAAAAACATATGTGTTGATAAAGATGCACGAGCAGTTACAAAGTTAAGACCTTGAAAAATTTACCAATAGAATGCACAATATGTTGCAGGTAGTGTTAAAAGCCAAAGTTTATTATTTTTTTTATTTTTTTATGTATAACACATGATGTTCTTACCACATAACTTATGTTCTTGCTACATAATTTATGCAATAGTAAAATAGTGGTAGAACACACTGTGCACAATGTTTAAATGACGCCATACAAAAAGGTTTAAGGTTTAAACCCACTTGAGACCTATAAATTTAAAAATAAAAATAGCCTTGTCAACTGGAGTGCATTAAAGAGGTAATTTAATTTTAAAAATATAATCCTTGATTATTGTCTGGTATTAAAAGCGAAAGTATAAGATAAAAAAATACAGATTAATATAAATTAATTTTTTTTTTTTACTGTCATAATTGCTAATTTGGTATTCACACATATATACTTTCTTTTTTACAATATTTACCTTTTATATATTTTTGCTTACATATTTCTTTTTTGTAACTAATTATATTAATATTTATAAACTATTTTGATGGGTGCAACTAACCAAGTTAAAATACACCAAATTTAACATAAAGTATCATAAATGACATTTTTGATACCAAAAACACATTTAATAAATAACATCAACATTAGTACAAAAGTAATTCATATGAGTTATAACTAAAAAAAACCGCCAATAACTTTGAAGGGGCATAACTCCCTTGGTTAATGAGATAAAAATTTAATTAAAAAAAAATATGTATTTTAGGTGGGCAATTTGTTTGCACATTAATTTTTTTCAATAAAACTATTGCGTCTTACATAGTCTAATTGGTTGACTCACATAGTCTAATGAGTTGACTCACATAGTCTAATGAGTTGACTCACATAGTCTAATTGGTTGACTCACATAGTCTAATGAGTTGACTCACATAGTCTAATGAGTTGACTCACATAGTCTAATGAGTTGACTCACATAGTCTAATGAGTTGACTCAGAAAGGCACTGTACAAGAGATTTTTCCATTTTAGAAAAGCATTACTTAAATCTATTGTACAATTTCTTGAGATTATCAGCTTTCCAATAATTTTCATACACTTTTCCTTTGAAAATATTCCAAAAATCCTCTATCGGACAACATTCAGGCACGTTTGCAGGGTTATCTTCTCTTTTGACAAAAATAATCTTTTTCTCATTTATGTAGTTTTGTACAGATTTTGCGTAATGAAATCAGGCCAAAATATGTATTCGCCATCAGATCAGGCCAAAATATGTATTCGCCATCAGAATGATGCTTTTGATAAATAGAATTAGTTTGTTCTTGACACAATCATTTTTGAGGACTTCTTGGTTAATTGCAAAGCCACTTTATCTGAATATTGGCAAAGATATTCTTTTATCGGAAAAGCAAATCCAAATTTATAAATTTCTTTTCATATTTTGCAATAAGGTTAAATTTGACACTTGTTGGTGTTTGAAAAACATCACTTGAATAATAAATATAATTTGCATTAGTCAAAAAATGGTTAAATGTGAAATACGACTCGTCATCATGAACTAACAATTTTTTGGCAGAAATTCGATACAGCCAACTGAACTTCGTTCAATTTGTCTCTATTTGGTCACAAGTTTTTAATGGAATCTTCTTCTTCTTCTTTGGCCTAATGAACTTTGTTTTTAATGTTTTGCATTTAAGTGCACCCAAGTATAAATACTTGGGTGCACTTAAATTTCCAAGCTGCTTGTGTTTACTACATACCGTCTTTGTGGTCAAACATTGTTTCAAGTCTTTCTATGTTCCTTTTTGTTATTATTTTAGCAATCCTACCACTTTCCAGGGACTCTTTGGTGCCCAGAGTTATTTTCAGCTCTTCGAATAATGATATAAATGGTGTTAATAGGAGTTTTTTCAGCAAGAAAGTGATTAACTGTAAACTTTTTCCCTTTAGATTTTCAAATAGAAGCTGTACAAATGTTCTCAATGAACTTCTTATTTTTCTTTCATTTTTCTCTGTAACAATAGTTTTGAATAGAATTGAAAATTCTATAAACTAGATAAGATTGCAAACATAATTAATATAAAATATGTTACAAAACTTTTTCTTCTAAGTCATTACTGTTTTTTAGTTATAACCCATTAATAGGGAATATTTAATAACAATTTTTTATTAATTTTGATTGTACCTCATGTTGCATATAAATACATACAGCTTCCGGTTTGGTCAACACTAGCCCACTAAATAGAAATGATTACAATTAAAAAAACATCAATATGCAAAGAAAGTTTAGTATGTTTAAAGTTTAGTGTCAAGTTTAATAAATTAATATGCAATAAATATATATCTGTTTATCTATAAATAAATATATGATCCCCACCAAGTCCCTGGTAGTACAGCGCTTAACTTACTTCTCCACGCAGTTACCTTGTTTCCAAAGATTTGTGCTTTGGAGTTAAAGAGTTAAGAGAGGGTTATAACCACAATTAAAGTAGCCTTCTTAACTGTATTGGCCATAGTCTTTGGGCCAGTACAGTTGAGAAGGCTACTTTACATTCATGCTGAAGATAAAAACGTGTTATTTTTAAAAAGTATTGAATTGTTTATGTAAAAAAACAAGAATAAAACAATACTGTAAAGTTGTTTTGACAATATAAAGAGCTTTTGCTAATCTAAAACAACTTTGTGACACTGTTTTAATGCTCTTTTAAACAGTTTACAATATTAATAACATAAAATGCGTTTAAAATAAAACAAAGTAAATAAATAATGTTCTAATTAATATAATCTATTTTATATAAATATTAATTTTGTTCTAATTATTAATTAATAAAATAAAACATCGTCATAAAACTTTAAATTTCATATTTGCACAAAAACAATTTATATCTATAGACCAAACACGTAAGTTCAAAGCAAATAAACATCAGATATCACATTTTTTCTAATTTATTGCTTTTCGATCTTGAGTACTATTAAAAATTTAAGCCTAATTAATTTTTTTATTTAAATGGTTTTTAGTTGATGTTTTCATTCATTTTTTTTTCGTTCAAATTGTTTTGTAAATAAAAAGTGAGAAAAAAATTTGGTTTAATAAATGAATCTATATTTCCTTACGTTTAAATAAATGTTTAAATTATTTTTTTGGAAAAAAATTTTAGAAGTAAAAATTTGGTTTAATAAATGAAACTATATTTCCTTACGTTTAAATATCGTTTAAATACGTTAAATATTACGTTTAAATTTAAATTATTTTTTTGGAAAAAAATTTTAGAAGTAAAAAAACTTTAATGATTTAAATGTTCTAAAATTTTTTATTATTTATTTATTACTTGCAATAATCACTGGTTAAAGGTTTGCAATAGAATTTTTATTTATTACTTGCAATAATCACTGGTTAAAGGTTTGCAATAGAATTTTTATTTATTACTTGCAATAATCACTGGTTAAAGGTTTGCAATAGAATTTTTATTTATTTATTACTTGCAATAATCACTGGTTAAAGGTTTGCAATAGAATTTTTATTTATTTATTACTTGCAATAATCACTGGTTAAAGGTTTGCAATAGAATTTTTATTTATTTATTACTTGCAATAATCACTGGTTAAAGGTTTGCAATAGAATTTTTATTTATTTATTACTTGCAATAATCACTGGTTAAAGGTTTGCAATAGAATTTTTATTTATTTATTACTTGCAATAATCACTAGTTAAAGGTTTGCAATAGAATTTTTATTTATTTATTACTTGCAATAATCACTGGTTAAAGGTTTGCTATAGAATTTTTATTTATTTATTACTTGCAATAATCACTGGTTAAAGGTTTGCAATAGAATTTTTATTTATTTATTACTTGCAATAATCACTGGTTAAAGGTTTGCAATAGAATTTTTCTACTCTTAAATATTATTTTCAAGAAACAAAAAATAATTAACTCCAGCTGTTTTAACAAAAATCTTTTCTTTGTGACCGCCTATTTTTTTGAATAAAATTTGGATGGCATAACATTGACAACTAATCAAAACTCGAATAGTAAATCTATTTAAAAGCATAACAAAATAAATATTAAAAAAAAGATAAAAGCTAAACAAATTAACTTTTCAATTAAATAAGTTTTTAACACGCATCATTGAACAATAAGAAACGCAAAGTGCTTAAAACAATTGTTTTTATAAATAGTAACTAAAACATCAAGTCCAAAACAAAACTTATTTAATATATAAATAAATGTTTTTCTTCAAAAGACTTTTGTAATTACTTAACTAAATACTTACACACTTATACAAGTTAAGTTTTACAGTGTTAACGCTGCTTTATTTTAGAACTAAATTTAAAGAAGTTTTATCATCAAGGATTACTCAAGATTTTTAATCTTTGTCAACTTTTTATAATTACAAAATATGGCTCTTATTTATTCTTGATTATGTTGAAAAATAATTAAACCTTAAGAACAAACAAATTATGTGTATAGAATGAAAATTTATGTACAAAACAAGATAAAATGTGAAGCATACTTGAAAGTGGCTTGCGGTCAAAATTTAAAAAATTAAAAGCCTGATATATATATATATATATATATATAAATTAGTAAAAAGAAAAAATTATAAATTAGTAAAAAGAAACTAATAAACCTTTAATGAAAAAAATAAAATTATTTTTAAAATTTTAATGAAAAAGAAAAGTAGAATTCAAATTTAATGAAATTAAATCACTAGTTAAATTTCAAAAGTATTCAACTTTAAATTTTAACTTTAAATTCTTGATGAAGGTTGTAATCCTACCTCAAAGAAATACAGCAATGAATTAAAAATTAAAATGTTTAAAGTAAAAATAAAAACAAAAATAATTAAAAAAATATATAAGAAATTATTTATAAATTTTCTCATTGAATTATTATTGAATTCATCTATAATGACATATGGATGGTAATAAAATCTTGCATAGTGTGCTTGCTAGCTTTTTATTTATGTTTGCATTCATGATTACCTTGTTTGTTCAGTCTGTTTGAGAACATCCAATAATGACTGATTTGTTGAGAAACTGTACTGGTGCCTGGTTCCATCTTCCAATTGCAATGCAATAATTATTGCCCCATCCAACCCTTTAAAAATATAACTACATTCACACATTAAATTTTAAATCACAAAATTTTAATACAAACTACATTATATAAAGAATAATACATATTATATAAAAATATTATATTTTACATATTATAAAAGCACTTCAATAGGCAAGAAACAAAAATATAATTGAAGATAGGGAAAGTGACAGAATAGAGATAAAATAGAAAATATGGGGAGTGAAACAGGATATAATTGAAGATGGTGTGTAACACAGTAAAAAAATTTATTGCCATCCATAATGGGATATGGATGGTAATAAAATCTTGGAATCGTGGGTGTGCATAGATATACTAATATCATATGTAGCAACAACTTTATCGCTAGCAACAACAAAAGTTATTAATATTCTGTTTATTTGATTTTCTTTACACTGTTACATTTTAGTTTTATATATTATATTGCACTATTTTAATATCAATATATTCTATATATGAAAATAATATTGGAGATGCTGAAGATAACAAAGATTAAAATTACCTTTTCTCGGATTGAGAGATTTAACCATTTCAAGCTTTGCATTATTTGCAAAGTTCAAAAAGCGCACCAATGATGATAATGAAATAAGTTTGTTTTGATGCCTGGTTGAAAGAGAAACAGGTGAAATCAATAAAAATTGCATTGATACAAAAAACTAATATTGATATAAAATGTATACAATTGTATAATTAAGTATAATGCCTGAAGGAAATACATTTAAGCACACAAGAACTAAAACATTAAAGTCTAAAATACATTAGAATTGAGGAGAATTCCATCAAAACATATTTAGACTTGTAAAAATTATAGTGTAGCTGGTTTAAGTTATTTACCTCCCCAAAGCAGAGGAGGTCACTACAGTCGAAAAATCCTGAGGTGGCTGCACAGAGAAACAAGTTCAGGGTTACAAGGGATGTAGTTGGAATCGAAACTTCTTGCTAGGTGAGCCTTTTACCACTACACCACAACAGCAGTTTTCTGCAGTATGTCACCAGCATAATTAATCTCTTCTATTAGTCTTAATTTTTTTGGACAAACTATTTAAATTTGCTTTGTTCAAAAACTTGTGTGTGTGTGTGTGTGTGTGTGTGTGTGTGTGTGTGTGTGTGTGTGTGTGTGTGTGTGTGTGTGTGTGTGTGTGATTATTTAGCAAATTTATATGGCAAATTATTAATAATGAATTCAAAAATTTTCTTAGGTAAAATAATATAATAAAATGTACACTAAAATAAATATAAAAAAATAAAAATATTTAAAAAAATAACTTAAGTTGTAACTATTATAAATTTTTACTTTAATTTCTTTAAAATAATTTTTACAACCAAATAAAAAAAAATATAATAACAAAAATAATAGAAATACAAAAAAACAAAAATAAAAATAGCAAATAAAAGAAAATAAGTGAATGACTGGTAATTAAAAAAAATATATTTACATAAAACTGGTTAACTAACCAAAGGTTTTCTGACAGAAAAAAATAACATAGTAAAAAGATGGAGAAAAAAAAATGAATTGGAGTAAACAAGGCAATCAAACTAACCAAAAAAATTACAAGTCAATTCATTATCTTACAATTTTTTTAAAAATGTGTTAAGATTCCCCCAACAACTTTGTTTGTGTTGTTGTTTTTTACATATTTTTGCTTCAATTAGAAAACCACTGTACTTATGAAAGTAATAAGTATGAAAGTATTTTTTAAAAATTGTTGTTCACCCTTTCTAAACCTAAATAGACAAAACAGATGCAGAGAGAAATGTGTTTAGAAAACAAAATCAAGGATGTATAACAGGTTTATGTTGAAACCAGATAAAAAGTGGTTTCTGCTAAACCTGGATAAATGTTAAAAACTTAATTTCCAAATTTTTGAAAATGACTACCCATATGATATTTTCCATGTAAAACTTTAGATTCACCAAATAAATTTTGTGCATTTGCTTTTTTAAACTCTGTCTGTTAGGTATTATAAATAATTCTTAAACAAAACCAAATAAATCAATAATTTTATTAAATTTATTTGTCTTAATTTTTATTTATACAAGCAATATATATAAAAAATAAAATTACTTTTTCAGGATGGCAAGACAATTTTTGATTTCATTTACCCTTACTTTTTCACTGGATTTTCCTTGACTAAAATGAAATTTTCTTGACTTGCCAATGTAAATTTAACAAATGTAGCAATAAAAAGGCAACAAATCCGCACAACTTTACCCAAATAATTGAAGTTTTCTTAAAAAATGTTTACTTTAAATTTAAAAACATTTTAAACAAAAAAATTAAATAAAATGTGAAGTGAAAAAATAAATTGTTTATTAGTCTCCAATAAACAAAGAATTTCGTTACTGAATTCATCAAAATTCCCTGACTTTTGAAAAATTCAATATATTCCCTGACTTTTCCAGGTTTTCTAAGTTGCTGGCCATCATTGTTTTATAAATAAATTAATAAAATAGATATCTTTATACTTTAGAATTTTAACCTTATAATAAATAACTTACAAAAAATAAATTGAATCTTTGACATCTATTACTAGTCATATGCAAGTGAAATATCATAAATTTTCAAAAGTATAACTAGAATCAGCTTATACAACAATATTATATTATTAGTAATGCAAAATTAAGTAGTTAATTCAAAACCACAATCATTAAATGATTTCCATAATCACAGTAAAGCAACCACTAGAGACAAAGGTCTAACAATAATGCTAAAAAAAGAGAACTACTCAAATGTAGCAAACACTTTAAAATCAGGGAGATAAACAAGTGAAAAAAAGTAAAAAGTCTACGCAAATCTAGTAAACACTTCAAAACCAGGAGGATAAACAAGTAAAAAAAAAAAAAGTCTACTCAACTGTAGCAAATACAATAAAACTAGGGAGATAAATAAGTAAAAAAAGAAAATAGTCTACTCAACTGTGGCAAAAACTTTAAAATCAGGGAGGTAAACAATATAAAACAAAAGACATTAGATATTTTATCACTGGGAATATAAAATAATAAACAATAGATATTTTATCGCTGGTGATTAAAATAAAAATTATTAAAAGAATTACTTTAACTCATGTTCATTTTCATCGTATTCTTTTTCCTTTTCACAAACATCTTGTAAAATCTAGAATTATAACAGACAAAAGAATAATCATATTCAAAAAAAAAAAATAGTCTAAACTTCATTAAATTATATAACTACATAATTAAAAAAACATAAAATTATTTAATAAACCTGCAATGCAGTCATTTGAGGTTGTGTCTTTACTTTTACCCTTTTTCCATTTGGGCATAACACTTCAACATATTTATTGCTCATTTATATTTTAATTGAAATTCTGTAACTAAAGTTAAAGACATTTGATAAAAGATTTTTTTTATTATTACTTTTAAGGTTGACATAATCACACAGAAGAATATGTTTATACTCAAGCATTGAGATTAAGGTTCATTTATTACCAAGGGCTTAGAAAGTGTTAATTATGTGGCTACTAGCTTTGTTCTAAAAAAAAGGTGTTTTTCTTTTTGCACGTGGCATATGTAAAACTTAGCCATGTGCAAAATTTGTAAAAAAAAAATCTTGAATTATATGAATTTATTATTATTAAAATTTTTGCAAAATTTAAAAAATTATTTGTTTAACACATTAAAAAAAACTTTTTATTAAAGAATTAATAAGCTGTACGTTTTTTTAAAAATTAAATATTCAATTTATTTCAAGGTAGTTATTTGAGTGTTTTTAATTAAGCGTTATTTCAGTGTTTTTAATTAGGAGTTTTATGAGCCAAAGTGGTTTCAATGTTTTCACTTACTTGTTAAGGTCTTCACAATTTCACTGGTGGAACAAAGAAAAATCTTTGACTAGTAAAATTAGGATGTGATGGAATTTTATAAAACTCAGTCCTTGGATATGATATTATAATCATTACAAAATTTTGTTACGATTAAAAAAAATTTGTAAAAATTTATTATATGAAAAACTTTTGAGTTTTTTTTGTTTTTTTTTTTGTATTTGAATAGAAAAATAAAGTTGTAGATATTTTTCATATAAATGAAATAATCCAATAAAAATAGTTTTAGATAAGTAAAGTTATGTTGAAAATTATTTATAAAAATAAGTTTATATCAATTAATAACACCTTGAATTCCAAAAACAACAAAATTGGAAAACAATAAAAAAATAATAACTAAAAAAAGTTCTTAATTTTAAAAGAGCAATAAAATAAAATAAAATAGAAAACTAAAGTATTTTCACAAAATGTTAACATACAAAAGAAAAAGAAAATGCATGTTTGCAAAATTTCACACAAATAGTTTTTATATCATTACTGTTTGCTTTTTTTTTCACTTCTAGTAACTTCAATTATTTCGAGTTAGTTCTAGAAGTTTTTAATACTCTCAGTAACCTTTATCTCATCTTTGCTCAACAACTTTCATCAATTCTTTTTTTAAACATTTACTTCTAAACACTTTTATCACATTGATCAATAACCTCTAAAAGAAAAATAGAAATTCAGTAAAGAATATACTTAATACAAAACTAAGAAAATATAAACTAAAAAAAAATGTAAGAATTTTCGAGAAAATTTAAAAAAATTTCTGGAAAATTATAAGGAATTTATAGTCAAATTTTAAGTCATTTCTAGAAATAGATAAAACATTTTTAGGAATGTATAAAACTTTTCTTGAAATAACTTTTAATTTTTATGTTTTCTTTATTGTAGAAAACAAACTTAAGGAAAGATTTATCATATGAATATGAGATACACCAGAAAAGATGGTACACCTTTTTGTATTATACTTGATGCAAAAAAAAAAAAAAAAAAAAATCAAACAAAATGTCCATATACTTTTGATAACTTGGTGATATGCTTGAGCAGCTGGACTCTCTGGATATTGATTTAAAAAAGATTTGCCTTCATCACAGCATTGACCTTAATTGAAAATAAAACATAAAATTAATACAACAACAATATATTTTGTAAAGTTAATATTATAAATGTTTTTAAACATTTATCTATTTATTTATTTACTATGTTCAGTAGGGATTTAAGATTCCTCAGAAATGTAGAGCTTAAAAACAAAGATAATTGAGTATGCAGAGCATGCAGAGATGTAGTACTTTTAGGACAAAGGATTGAGGTAGATTTAGAAATATTGTAAAATGTGTGTAACAAATAACATACAAGGGATGGGGGGCGAAAGTTTGTGGAATGAAAGGGTTTTAGATAAAATGAAACAATCTATTTTTCTTTTTCAAAATAATCTCCCTTAAGCTGAATACACTTACTAGATCTATGAGTTAATTTTTCTATGCCATCATAAAAGTATTTTTTATTTTTTGCTTCAAAATGAGCCAAAATTGCCACTTTTACTTCATTGTCACCAGAAAATTTCCTTCTCCTTTATTCAAATTGGGAAACAAATAAAAATCACATGGCGCCAGATCTGGAATGTAGGGTGGATGCACTAGTGATTTGAAGCCATACCCGGTACCCATCCTGCACTGAATTTTGTCATACTGAAGTGGTCATGTAGGATTCGTAAAATGGTGGTATCTGATACTTCAACCAATGCAGAAAACAGTTTTTTCTATAAACCAGTGTTCTCCAGTATAATTTTTTCCACTTTTTCAACGATGTCTGATGGGGTAGCCTCACCTGGCTTTTCTGACAGGGGTCATCTTCAATAGACTCCCAACCACATTTAAAAAAACCATGCCACTTGTAAATTATTGTTTTACTAGGGTACTGTTCCCCATAAAGGGTTACCATTTCATTCAAAATGGTCTGAGCATTATTCCCTTGCTTGGTAAGGAATTTTATCACAGCACGGTGCTCAATTTTCTCCATAGCTTTAGCTTTCTTCCCGATTGACTTGTTTAGCAGGCAAGCCTTCATAAATGAATAATGTGTCAGTGTGTAAACAAAAATTTCTATACTAATAATGAGTCACAAATTAGTATGACACATAGGATCCACCCCTATCTCCACCCCCTCCCCTCCATTCCACAAACTTTTGGACCCAACATCAAGGATGTTGTTATTTTAAGGTTGATTGTTTTAAGGATGTTGGCTGTTGTTTTAAGGTTGGTGTTGTCAATGCTATTTTATAAGTTTCTTAAGTTTCGATGTTATTTCTTTTAAGTTCTTTGCAAACCAGCATTTGATCAGTTCATTACAACTTTCAATATTAGCAAACTTTTTAAAATAGTAGATATACTTAAAAACTATTAAACAATTTGTTGTCAGTCTTATTAACCTTTTGATTCTTTATCCAAATTCGAATCCCTTTAAAAATGAAGGATTAAATTCACCATTCATGCCATACTTGCTGAACAGGCAGTTCTTCATCAAATTGAATTTACAATTTTTAAATTCTGTACCAAAATGATGACCATATTTAAGTGTTTATTAATAAGGCAAACCATGTTTGCCTTAATAACATCAACAACATGGAAGTCATTTTGTTGATGTTATTCTCACTGCGAGTGAGCAACCTAATACTAAAAATAAATAGTCTAGATTGCTTTTTATGGATGGTTCTATATATATATATATATATATATATATATATATATATATATATATATATATATATATATATATATATATAGTTATATACATTTTTTTTTTTTTTTTTTTTTTTTTTTTTAACATCTTCACTTCCAACAAGGCTGCAAGCAACCACTATAAGAGTTGGAAGTTACTGGAAGAGAAAAGACTAAATCTGTAGAGCAAGATAACGATTGACTGATGACTTAAAAGATTGCAAATTATATGAATCAGGAAAGCAAGATGAAGGAAGCGAATTCCAAAGAACTGATGTTCGAGGAAAAAAACTAGAAGAATAAGAGTTTTTGAAGCACTTAGGAACAGTCACAGAAAAAGGATGAGACTTAATTGAATGGCGAGTAACACGAGAATGAATTTTAGTAGATGGCACAAGGGACGCTAGCTCTTTAGAGCAGTGCCCATTATAGTATTTGTAGAAAAGAGAAAGAGAAGCAACATTACGACGATGTGACAAAGGTTGGAGATTGGCTGCCAGAGCAGGTCCAACTATGTTTACAATTCGTTTTTGCACCTTGTCTAAAAGAGAAAGAGCATCATTGGAAGATCCGCCCCAGATGTGGCAACAGTATTCCATACAGGGACGGATTTGAGATTTATAGAGATAGAGAATAGAATCTGGAGTAAGAAAGTGTCGAGCTCGATAAAGAGATGCAACCTTAGCAGATGCTAATTTTGCAATGGATTTGATATACGGTTTAAAAGAAAGATCAGAAGTAAGAGTTAATCCTAGAAGATGAATGGTAGATGACTCATCTAGTACATTACCATTCATAAATATAGGAAGATCTAAATTATTACGATAACGATTGGCCGAATAAAATTGAGTTTTATCTGAATTAAAGTTCACCAGCCACTGTGAGCCCCATGCTGTAGCAGAAGTGAGATCCTTTTCAAGCTCAGATACCCCCTCCAAGCAATCAGAGAGTGTAGGCTTCTTATCATGACAAGAGTAAATGGTAGTGTCGTCAGCGAATAATGCCACCTTAGATGTGAGAATATCTGGAAGATCATTAATGTAAATTAAAAAGAGTATAGGGCCAAGGATTGAACCTTGAGGAACCCCTGAAGTTACAGGATGTGAAGAAGAGTGTTGTCCATCGAGGACAACTTTTATACTACGATTGGAAAGAAAGGACTCAATAATCTTAAAGACGTTACCAGCTACACCATAAGAAGAAAGCTTATGGAGAAGACCAGCATGCCAAACTTTATCAAAAGCTTTAGAAATGTCAAGTGCGATAGCCTTAACCTCTCCACCTCTATCTAATGCACGGTAAAACCTATCGGTTATTACTGTTAGCACATCAGCTGTAGAACGAGAAGACCGAAATCCATATTGATGGTCAGAAAGTAAGTTATTTGATTCAAGATGAGAGATTAAGTGTTTGTTAATTAAAGATTCAAAAACCTTGCTTATGACAGGAAGAAGACTAATGGGACGGTAGTTAGATGAATCAGATCGCTCTCCGGAATTTTTGAAAATAGGGATAACAGATGCTGCTTTCCAGCATGATGGAAAACAAGACTCTGATAAGCACTTGTTAAATAGTTTAGAAAGTATGGATGAAAGCTCCGGAGAACACCTCTGCAAAACTACAACAGGAATGTTGTCAGGACCACAAGCTGTTGAAGAGTCTAAGCAGGAAATTACTTTAGATACAGAAGCTGAAGTGATGCGAATGTCAAGCAAGGGATCAACCTGTTTGACGGCTATGTCAGGTAAAACGCAACTAGTGGAATCAAGAGATGATATTGATGAAAAGTTCTTAGCAAACAATTCAGCTTTGTCTTTAGGTGAGGTGACAAAGTCTGAACCATACAAGAGAGAAGGAATAACAGATTTGCCCTTATTATTGATACTGTTAAAGATTCTCCAGAAGTCTCGAGAGCCTAATTTTTGTGATGAGATACGAGATTTAATGACCTGGGAATAGCGTGTTTTGGCGTCAGACAAAACCTTTTTACAATGGTTTCTGGCGATAGTGAACAGATGTCTGTTTTCTGGAGAATTGTTTTGCTGATAGATATGGAAGTAACGGTTTCGATTAGAAATTGCTGCAGCGCAATGTGAGGAAAACCAAGGAGAAGAGTGAGGCTTAACCTGGAATCGTCGAGAGGGAATAAAAGATTCCATGCCAGCCTGAATCCACGAAGTTATGTAAGAAGCACATTTGTCAGCAGGAAGACGAAAGATTTCTACCCAAGGGCCATCACGAAGAAAATCACGGAAAGAGTCCCAGTCAGCTTTAAGGTAGTTGTATGTGGTACGATGATAGGGGGATTCTGATGAAGTAGAAGAATTTGATAATAGTTTTAGAGAGATCAAACCGTGATCAGAAGTACCTAAGGGTGAATGTGGAGAAATTGAGCACTGACTAGGATCCAAAACAAGACATAAGTCGAGTAGAGAAGGTAAATGATTAGGGTTGTCTGGAAAACGAGTTGGAAAGTTGACTATTTGAGTTAGAGATTGAGAAAGGCAAAAGTTGAGGGCCTTATCGCCAGCAGAGTCACTGACACTAGAGCCAAGCCAATCGGTGTGATGGGCATTAAAGTCACCAACAACGACGATATTGGCCGATGGATAAAGAGAGAGGGCTTGGTCAATTTGATCCGAAATAACATCAAGAATAGTGCAATCTTGGGATGAAGGAGAGCGATATAGAACAAAGAGAAAGGCGATAGAGTGAAGTTGTGCTAAACGAAAGCACATAAATGAATAGTCTGTAGATTCAAACCTAGTTTCACGACAAATGGGTGAGTTCTTACGAATGTAGATGCCCAGGCCAAGCATGTGATTATTGGAGTCTTTACGAATTAAAGGAAGATAACCATCAACACTAAGATCACAAGATGGGACAGCCAAACTTAAATTAGTCTCACAAAGAGCAAGTAGGTCTGGTGAACTTTGCAAGAGATAAGACTCAACAGAAGAAAAGTTACTTCGAAGACCACGAATATTAGTAAATGATAGGTTTAGAGAACTTGGTGATGACAATGGTTTTTTGTGTTTTTTAGTTTTAGGTACTTTAGTCATTTTAAATTTATAAAGAACTTGACTCAAGTATAGATAGTACTCAGTACACTATTTAACAACTAAGCAATAGCCTCATTACTCTTAATAAACCCTAAGCCGTAACAAAGGGCTCCAAATGTGGCCTCTGCAATGCACACCAAAAGTACAAACAGGGACACCATCCATGCGCAACATGGCACTGTTAGTACTCTGATATTTTTCGGCTGTTGATGGAATCAGCCTCTCTGAGAGCTACCACAGAGTTCGGGAAACCTGACTACCAGCCGGCCTCAGAACCATAAAACTGAGTTTTAGAGCTGTACCCTCATTAGGAGATAATAGAATGAGTTGCCCAGTCATAAAAATAGAGACACAAGCAATACCCACGCATTGAGTCAAGAAGATCCAGCGTTCAACATCCTAAACTGGAAACAATGTATTAAGAATACATCTGCGCCAGCCTAATAGATGAGGAAGGGGTGCGAGGCTGGTCAACAGATAGAATCTGTTTACCCCTTAAGTCTTTGCCTAGGAGGCCTTCTACAAGACAGCAGCTGGATGCATGTAACATCTGCCCAAGATGAGTATTTTTATCGAGACACCATCTCTAGCCTTTACTCAACCAAGAGCCCCAAGGCAGGGGGTGTTTTAATTCGGAGTTAACTTCTCCTAGCCTTTGCCTAAAAAAGCGTATCCTACAAGGCAGCAGGACATGGAGCAGGTTGTACTGGGTTACATGTTACCAGTAGCAGGAAAACCTGACCTGACCTTGAGACATAACATATATAAAGTGAGACATAACATATATAAAGTTATATACATACATATATATATATATATATATATATATATATATATATATATATATATATATATATATATATATATATATATATAGTTATATACATAACATATATAAAGTTATATACATACATATATATATATATATATATATATATATATATATATATGAATATATATGAATATATATATATATATATATATATATATATATATGAATATATATATATATATATATACATATATATATATATATATATATATATATATATATATATATATATATATATATACATATATATATATATATATATATATATATATATATATATATATATATATATATATATATATATATATATATATATATATATATATATATATATATATATATATATATATATATATATATATATATATATATATATATATATATACATATATATTTCCATGTACATGCATAAAAACCTCTAGAAACTTATGATTTTGGGACAGCTTTAACTGATGTAATCAATTACCTACAATAAAAAAGTAGAGGTTTTCAGGATTGCAAGGATTATCTTAAAAACAAAAATTATAAAACTCATTAAATTTATTTTAAAATGTTATTTAATTAATTCAAAAACTTATTTAATTAATTTAAAGAGTTTTTGAAAAATGAAAGAAGACCTCAGTTATCCGCAAAAGACTATACTTTTTATAATGAGGAGACAAAAAAGTTTGATGGATTATAAATTCAATAATTTGACACTTTTAGATAATTTTTAATTATATAAGCAACAACCAACAGATTTCAACTAATTGCAAAAATTGATAATAAAGATAACATTTCTTTCTTTGTTTTTTTTATAAAAAAAATTAATGCATGCAATGAATGCATAGATTTTTTTTTTTTAAACAACTTTATGCACAAGTTGGGGTTTTCCTTTTTTTAGATTTGTCTTATATTCTTATTTGTTATTAGTGGTTATAGAAAACGTTTGAACTGCAAATCAGTTTATAAAGCAATTTAAGTTTATGTCACTGCATAGTTTTGACAAAATGACAAAATTTATTAAACTTTGCTTAAAAATTTACTTTTGCTTAAAAAAAAATCTAAACTGCATTTTGTTTTCAAGAATACAGTTTTACCACATAGCACTGTGAAAAAGTATTTATTTAGTTATACTTTTCTAACTAACCATTTTATATGATCTTTAAACTTTTTGTAGTCTTCAAAAAATTATACTTTTCAATTATCATTTAAAAATTTTACTTTTTACAAACTTTTGTTTGTAAAAAGTAAAATTTTAAAATTAAAACAAGTCCAAAAATAATTAAATTTTTATTTAATAATTAAATTTCTCAAAATTAAAAAATAATTTTTATAATTATACTTAATTACTGGCATCAAATATTAATTTTATATATAAAAAAAGAAATCTTTAATTTTAAAAATAAATTTATAAAAAAAACAATCAAAGTAGATTTTTTCATTAAGAAAATTTTTATACAAAAAAAAATATTGTGCTAAAAATGATGAAATTTTTAGTTAACATTTCAAATAATAATTTTTTTTTAATTCAATTTACTTTTTTTAATTGCAAGTTTCTCAGCCATTTACAGATCAAAACAGTAGTTATTTGAACAAACTATGTGAAAAGTGTTATCTAATTGCACATTTCTGGAAAAATTGCAACTTTCAATTATTTCTTCCAAAAAGAAACCAATCAAAAATAAATTTTGATTTTATATATAAAATAAAAAACGAATTAAGATCAGGAAATTTTAATATGTTTATATAAACCTAAATGAGAACTGCTCCGATTTTTTGTAATTAAAAGTTTTATTAATTCCAATCCTAAAAAAAATACAAACCAAGCTTACCTATTCTTGGATCAAGTGGAAGCCGCCCAAGAAACTGTAGTCCTAATTCATTTGCTAGAGCTTCTCCTCCACCTGTTGTGGGAGGGAATATTTGTGACTCAGTCTAACATAAATGAACATGAAAGCTATAAATATATAAAATTTCAAGTTAACACTAGACAATAATAAATAATCAGCACAAAAGGTCAGCGACAAACTTTACCTGACATTTTGGACACACAAACCCACTCATATTTTCTACAACTCCAAGTATTGGTAACTTCACTTTAGAGCAAAAGTTAATTTCTTTTCGCACATCTAATATTGAAACCTCCTATACAAAGTAAAAGAGTATGAACAATTTCTATCAATATATCTAAATACATAATAAAAATACACAAACATACGATCAAAATATATATATGTGATAATATGATATAATATGGTAAAAAGAGTGAAAGAAGTTAAGAATTTTTTAGGAAACTGAAGAGGACAACAACAAAATAAAAAAATTTGTGATAGCAAGAACTATATACTAACGAAATTACAAGCAAAGATGCAAAGCTAGAGTTCAAAGTCTGAAATGTCAAAATCTTTGTAAATAAAAATATGTTGACTATTCAATTCTGTATAGCTAATCCAAAAACATTTTATCTGTCAAAAGGTGTTTAATGAAAAATTTATGTCAAAACCATGCTTTTTATAATAAAAATTTGTCAAAACCCCTCATTCTCTCTATCTGGAGCAAAACATTAAAACAAATTACTCTAAGTTATATGTTTACTTTTGGTTATTATTTTAAGTTATATGTTTAATTCTCTATTATTAAACAATTTAATGATAAAAAAAAAAACTTTAAACTGTTAGGGGCTTTTACACTAAGTAAAATTTCCTGACAATAAATGTTACATTTATTAGTTATGAACACAAGTTTAAAAAATCAAAAAATTTCAAATTTATACTTTTGCATAACTATTTACAAGACATATTTTAAATTAAGTTAATGCTTTAGATACATTTCTTGAATAAATTAAGTTAATAATTTAGATACATTTTTTGCATAATTTTTTTATAGTAATAACAATATAGTCATCAGCATTTTAATCTTAGTATAATAATAATAATAATAATAATAATAATAATAATAATAATAATAATAATAATAGCAATAATAGTAATAATAATAATAATAATAATAATAGCAATAATAATAACAACAAGTTAACGTTTTCTTTCTCTAAAAACATAATAAAAATCCAAAACATAATTAGGAATTGCATAGATTAAACTATTTGGTATTCTTTTGTTGTTAATGACCACAACGTTAAACACAGAAGTATAGTTATTAATAGTTTATTCTTTTAAAAAATTACTTTGCGTTTAGAACTATTAATTAAAAGTTGAAAGTAAATTAAACAATATAATGTTGAATTAATAAAAAATACAACAATGAATAAAAATCATAAATAAACAATAAAACAAACAAAAAAATTTTAAATAACTAAAAACATTTACTTCTAAAGTGGTTAAATTTATTTATTATTTTTTATTATTGATTTTAACTAATAATACCTTGGTTTAAATTTGCATATTTCAAAAGTAAAAAGGATGGCAAACCCTGGGCAACCTCTGGCACAAATAAAGAGCACTTTAATACTACCACTTACTAAAGGCTACTTTAATACTACCAATTACTTTACCTTCTGTCATGTGGTATCAGGTCAGGAGAAAAAAAAATTGATAAAAAAGAAAAAAGTTGTACTTAAAGGAAAACACTTTTCTTCATTCATATTAACTTCTGGGGTATGACAAAGCTACATCCTGCATTGTTTCTCATTAAGAATCTTTTTTGATAATCTTATCTCTGAAGTAAGGCTTATTCGCTGATGACATAATGCTGATGATACTTTAGTAACTAAGTTTTAACAAAAACTCATCACCTTTTAATCACTTAGAACAGGCAACTGATCTTGGATAAGATCAGTTTTATCTTCACCTTATTTATCTTCTGTGACAAGTTAGGGCTCAGCATGGCCAGTAAATTTTACTACTAACAGTGGTTTTTACTACTCTCAGTTGTTACATAGTTACTACATGTTACAGTTATTTTATAACTAACTCAATTGTTCAACGCTATGTAACAAATTTTTATTTTTATTATGTCCTTCGGTTGAAGGTTTTCCTAAACCATTTTCCCAAAAACAAATAAAATATCTGTTTTTTAAGAAAAAGCTGCTGTAATCTAATGATATTTTAAAATTTGTGTATTTTCAAGAAAGTTCATAATTTGTATTAAATACTGAGAATTGCTAGAATTGTCCAGAAGGTTTGAGAATTTTCCAGAAAATCCTAGAACATTTAAAAAACTTTTATAATTTTTAAAAAACCTCTAGAACTTTTTTTAGCCTTTTTTAATCTAAAAGTAGTCAAAAAAGTATAAAGGGTGACTTAATTCAACAATTCATTTCATGCTAATGGTAAATAAAGGAATGAATTGTATTTGAAATGTAATTAATTTAAATAGCATCAAGAGGTTGTTTATATCAAGTTAATTTTAAAGTTAATAAAGTTAGTCAAGTTTACAAGTGCATTTTGCACTTGTAAACTTGACTAACTTTATTAACTTTAAGACAAGATTGAAAAAGTATTCTGTGGAAAGCAAGTGGTAAAACAAGTGAGCCCTACAATGGACACTTTGGTATTTCTCAATTCATATGTGAATATTGCAAGAGATCTCTTAAAATTAAGTTGAATAAATGTTTCTAGCTTAGATGGGCTTCAACATTTTTTAGAACTTAAATGATTTAGAAATAAGTTTTAAGAAAAGAAATATATTATTTTAAGAAGTTGTAATTAACAAAGTTTACATATATATTGGGGCACTATAGGAAAATAAGTTAAATGTAAATAACTACAGTTTTGTAGGTGTGGTTGAGGAGAGGAGGCCATAGTTCCCTAACCAGAAAGGAGGCCATACTTCCCTAGCCTTCCATAACCAGAAAGCCGACAATGATCTAAACAGAGACTTAGGTCTTACCAAGTCAAACGCAGAGCTTCATATACCCAGGCTCAAACAGGGGAACTTGTTGTATAAAAATGTGCGAGTCACAGATCAGAGAAAAAGGGGAAATGGTTGTATAAAAGGGCGCAAGTCACAGATCAAAGATATAGGGGCTTCAAAACTGAACAACTTCTTTTTTTTTTTCTTCTTTCCAACATCTATGCTTCCAACAAGGCTGCAAACAACAACTATTAGCTCTTAGCAAATAATTTGTCTTCAGGTGAGATGACAAAATCTGAACCATACAAGAGATGTGGAACAACAGATATACCTTTATTGTTGATACTGTTAAAGGTTCTCCAGAAATCACAAGAACCTAATTTTTGAGATGAAATACAAGATTTCATGATCTGAGAATAGCGGGTTTAGCATTAGACAAAACCTTTTTACAATGGTTTCTAGCAATAGTAAACAGATGTTTGTTTTCTGGAGTATTGTTTTGATGATAGATATGGAAGTTATGGTTTTAATTGGAAATTGCAGCAGCACTATGTGAGGAAAGCCATGGAGAAGAGTGAGGCTTGACTTGGAATCATTGAGAGGGATTAAAAGATTCCATATCAGCCTGAATCCAAGAAGTTACATAAAAAGCACATTTGTCTGCAGGAAGAGGAACGATTTCTACCCAAGGGCCATCATGAAGAAAATCATGGAAAGAGTCCTAGTCAGCTTTAAGGTAGTTGTAAGAGGTACAATGATAGGGGGATTCTGATGATGAAGAAGAATGAGATAATAGTTTTAGACAGATCAAACCGTGATCAGAAGCATCTAAGGATGAATGTGGAGAAACTGAGCATTGACTAGGATCAGGAACAAAACAAGATGAAGGAGAGCAATATAGAAAAATTGAGAAAGGCAATAGAGTGAAGTGATGCTAAACAAAAGCACATAAAAGAATAGTCGGTGGATTCAAACCTAGTTTACAGATAAATGGGTGAATTCTTACGATTGTAAATCCCCAGGCCAAGCTGTGGCAATTGGAGTATTTACGAATTAAAAGATAACCATCAACACTAAGATCACAAGATGAGACAGCCTAACTCAACGAAATTAGTCTCACAAAGAGCAAGTAGGTCTGGTAAACTTCGCAAGAGATAAGACTCAACAGAAAAAAATTTATATTGAAGACCACAAATATTAGTGAATGATAAGTTTAGAGAACTTGGTGATGACAATGGTTTTTTGTGTTTTATAGTTTTTGGTAGTTTAGTCATGTTTAAATTTGTTAAAGAACTTACCTCAAAGCATAGATAGTACTCAGTACACTATTTAATAGTCCAAGCAACTGCCTCAAATTACTATTAATAAACCCTAAACCATAACAAAGGGCTTCAAATGCGGCCTCGACAATGTGCACCAAAAGTACAAACAGGGACACCATCCATGCGCAACATGGCAATGTTAGTACTCTGATATTTTACAGCTGTTGATGGAATCAGCCTCTCTGAGAGTTACAACAGAGTTCGGGAAATTTGACAACCAGCTGGCCTCAGAACCATAAAACTGAGTTTTAGAGCTGTACCCTTATTAGGAGATAATAGAATGAGTTGCCTAGTCATAAAAAGAGAGACACAAGTAAAACCTATGCATTGAGTTAAGAAGATCTAGCATTCAACATCTTATACTAGAAACAATGTATAATAAGTACATCTGCCCCAGCCTAATAGATGAAGGAGTGCAAGGCTGGTTAACAGATAAAATCTGTTTACTTCTTAAGTCTTTGCCTAGAAGGTCTTTTACAAGACAGTAGCCGGATGCGTTTAACATGTGCCCAAAATGAGTATTTTTATCGAGACACCATCTCTAAGCTTTACTCAACCAAGAGCCCCAAGGCAGGGTATGTGATAAATTGAAGTGGCTTCTCCTAGCCTTTGCCTAAAAAAGCGCATCCTACAAGGTAGCAGGACATAAAGTAACTACCTGTTCGGTGGCTCATTATGTTAATCTCAAAAAACAGTATTATTGTCAGTATTATTGTCGATGTTGCTGTATGACAAAAAACAGATGTTTGATCATTGGAGACTGAAAAATAATGTCATTCCTAATTGACCTTTAAAATGGTTTGACAAAATTTCAATTTTTTTTTTTAAGTCACTTCTAACAAGGCTGCAAGCAACCACTATTAGAATTAAAAGTTACTGGAAGGGAAAATATGAAATTTATAGAAAAAGATAACGATTAACAGATGACTTAAAAGATTGCAAATTATATGAATCAGGAAAACAAGATGAAGGGAGCGAATTCCAAAGAACTGATGTTGGAGGAAAAAAACTAGATGAAAAAGAATTTTGGGAGCACTTAGAAACAGTCACAGTAAATGAACAAGACTTGAATGAATTGAATGAAGAATAACACGAGAACGAAATTTAGTAGAAGGCACAAGAGATGCTAGGTCTTTAGAGCAGCGCCTATTATAATATTTATAGAAAAGAGAAAGAGAAGCAACATTATGACGATGTGACAATGGTTGAAAGTTGGCTGCTAAAACAGGTCCAACTATGTTTAAAATGCATTTTTGCAACTTGTCTAAAAGAGAAAGAGCATCATTGGAAGTTTTGCCCCAGATATGGCAACAGTATTCCATGCAAAGATAGATTTGAGATTTATAGTGATAAAGAATAAAATCCAGATTAAGAAAGTCACGAGCACGATAAAGAGATGCAACCTTAGCAGATTCTAATTTTGCAATCAATTTGATATATGGTTTCCAATAAAATCTGAAGTAAGAGTTAATCTAGAAGACAAATGGTAGATGACTCATTGAGTACATTACCGTTCATAAATATAGTAAGATATAGATTGTTGCGATAACGATTTGTTGTAAAAAATTGAGTTTTATCTGATTTAAAGTTTACTAGCAACTGAAAACCCCATGCAATAGCAGAAGTGAGACTCTTTTCAAGCTTAAATGCCCCCTCCAAGCAATCAGAGAGTGTTGACTTCTTATCAAGACAAGAATAAATGGTAGTAACATCAGCAAACCTTAGATGTGAGAATATCTGGAAGATCTTTAATGCAAATTTAAAAAAAAATAGGGCTAAAGTTAGAACCATGAGAAACCCGGAAATGAAAAAGAACGCTATCCATCGAGGACAACTTTTATTCTACGATTGGTAAAGAAGGACTTGATAATCTTAAAGATGTTACCTGATACACCATAAAAAAAGAACTTATGGAGAAGATCAGCACACTTTAAAAAGGCTTTAGAAATATCAAGAGCAATAGCCTTAACCTTTCCACATCTATTTAATGCATGATAAAACCTAATTGGTTATTACCGTTAACAAATCAGCAGTAGAACAAAAAGATCGAAATCTATATTGATGATTAGAAAGTTATCAGATTCAAGACGAGAGATTAATTATAGACTCAAAAACTTTGCTTATGATAGGAAGAAGACTAATGGGACAATAGTTAGACAAGTCAGATCGCTCTCCGAAGTTTTTAGAAAGTACTAGGTTGGTTGAAAAGTTCGCGGAGCGGCACCTATGTTGCAGTAGTAGAAACAAATTTATAACTGTATTAAACGTATTCATTCTTCGTATGAACGCATAAAAAATTTCAAGTCGATATGTCATTTCAGTCTTTGTTTACAAGCTATTGAAATTAGACGTGTCATAGTATTTTTTAAAATGGAAAATATTGAACATCGTGCTGTAATAAAATTCTTTGTGAAAAAAGGTTTAAAGCCCATGGAAATTCATAATGAAATGGTAAATGTGTTGGGTGATGATGCTCCTTCAAAAACAACAGTATGCAAATGGGCTGCGGAGTTTCAACGTGGGCGTTCAAGCCTTGAAGATGACCCTCGCTCTGGACGTCCAAAAAGTGCTACTACTGAAGAAACGATTAATGCTGTGCATGACATGGTTATGGATGATAGACGATTGACCAAACGTGAAATTGCTGAGGCTGTGGGCATCTCAGATGAACGGTTATTACACATCTTGCACGATGAATTACGTCTGAGAAAGCTGTTGGCAAGATGGGTGCCGCATTCGCTAACTCTGGATCAGAAACGCACTCGAGTAAAACTTTCTCAAGAACATTTGGCCCGTTTTCAAAAGAATAAAACAGATTTTGTGCGTCGATTCGTAACCATGGATGAGACTTGGGTTTACCACTATGATCCGAAGCTGCGACAACAAACTGCAGAGTGGACAGAACCCGGTTGTTCAGCTCCGAAGCAAGTGAAGGCGTCAAAATCGTCAAAGAAGGTTATGGCATCAGTTTTTTGGGATGCGAAAGGAATTTTATTAATAGATTACCTTCAAACCGGTAAAACGATAACAGGTGAATATTATAAAAATCTTTTGGACCAGTTGGATAAAAAAATTCGTGAGAAAAGACCTGGTTTGCTGCATAAAAAAATCATTTATCACCAGGACAACGCACCTGCTCATATCAGCGATGTTGCAAAGGCGAAATTGGTCGAATTAAAGTATGAACGCTTGGAACATCCACCCTATTCACCAGATCTGGCTCCGTCCGACTTCCACCTCTTTCCACATCTCAAAAAATTTCTACGTGGAAAGCGTTTCTCATCACATGAAGAAGTCATTGCAGCCGTAAATGGGTATTTTGAAGGCCTTCCGGAATCGCACTTCAGAGATGGGATACATGAATTGGAGAATCGTTGGAAAAAGTGTATTGCTCTTAAGGGAGAATATACTGAAGAATAAAGTCATTTTTTGAATCATAAAATTGTTTTTTCATTTCCGCTCCGCGAACTTTTCAACCAACCTAGTAGACTGGAAAACAAGACTCTGATAAGCACTTGATAAATCCATAGTAGTATACATAGAAAAACTATAAAACTGTGTTACATAGAGTAACTATAAAAACTGTATTATGAGTAAAATGTCATAATAAAATTGATATCCTTGCCTTGATGAATGATAACACTTTACTGAGTTATCATTACATCTGATTTGATTAACTCTACTACTAATCTCTCATAAAAATCATGGGAATTAACTCTCATGGAAACCATATATACAATGCATGGCAATGTTATCGGTTGGACACAGAAAAATCTGGTTAACTTTAAATTGAGATTTCTCAAATGCTTTTTATTTCTTTTATTTTTTTAATTAAATGTTACTTTCTTATTTTTAATTATGTTGATTAACTTTTGTTTACAAATCAATGATTTGCAAAATGTTTTGGAAACAAATAGAGGTGCCTAAAAAAGTTGTGATTTTTTTTTTGCAAAAATCCATTGACTTCATATTGCTTGATTGCTAAACGTACTAATGTCCCAAAACCTACAGTCAAAGATATTATAAGTTCAAGACTACTCAAAGCTTCAAAAGAAAACCTGGGAGTGGAAGAAAGAAAACTTTCCATAAATCCAAAAAGGTTAAGTTGATTCTCAGTTCAACAGCAAGAAATCTGAACCAGTCGCAGTAAGATTTAGCTAGAAAATTCAAGACTTCTTATATCAAAAAAGTACTTAAAAATGGAATTAAAGTATTTTATAGGAAAAATACACCTAAGAGAAGCTTAAATGGTGAAATTAAAGAAATTCGATGCGCAAAGAAGTTGGTAAAATAATGGCAGATAAAAGTATGTGTATAATTGAAGACAACGAAAAAAACATTGCAAGGCAGATTTTTCACAACTTCCTGGTCAACAATTTTACTATGAGAACAAAGATGAACCTGTCGATGATCAATTTAAATATATTTAATGAGAAAAATTTGCATCCAAATTTCTTGTGAAGCAAGCGATTTGTAGGTGTGGTATGCAGTCCTCTTGGTTTGTGACTAAGAAGACCTTGACTACCAATCTCTACACCAAAGAACACAACCAAAAAAGACTTGTTGTTTATGGAAAAACACAAATATCGATGTCTCTTTTGGCCCAATCTTGCTGCTTCTTACTATTCCAAAAAAGTTCTACAGTGGTGCAAAGATAATAATGTGAAAAATGTTCCTAAAGATGCAAATCTTATATAAAGTACTGTTGTCATATTTGTTATATGTAAGTCTCTTCATAATATGATGTCATTATAAAGTACAACTATGGTTGCTGTTTGAGCAAGTTATTATCTTTTAAAGCTATTATCTCTTTGAGCAAGTTATCTCTTGTTTCAGAAACCAAAACACAATCTTGCGTGACTCACCATTCAGCAAAGTTACATCTTTTTACGGTAATTGTTCATTTAAGCTTCTTGCAACTTGGAAACAAAACTTTTCCAATTTGCAAGAAGCATCTCACTTTCTTATAAAAAATAATTAAGAGAGTTCAAAAATCTTTTAAAAATATATAAAACTTTAAAAAAATATAAATTATAATCATTAAAAAAATTAAAAATAAAAACTTTAATAGTTGAAAAAAAAAATAAGACCTGTGGTGTAGTAATGATAACAGCACCATCAAGGTTAGCTTGACTAAGATATTGAACCAGTGACAAATGTTCATCTGAAGTACCAGGAGGTGTATCAATTATTAAGTAATCAATATCACCCCAATCAACATCTTTTAAGAACTGTTTGATAATTCCTAACAAAATTATTGTTGAAAAATTAGACATTGTGGATGCTTTCACACAGCTTTTTTTCTTATTTCAAAAACACCTTTTAAGAAGTATACAATTCCAGTATTATAAAGTAACGAAATACTGCATGAAAAACAATTTACCATTTTTTCTTGGTCCTCGCCATATGACAGCCTCATCCACTGATTGAAGAAGAAAACCAATAGACATTACTGATAAATTATCCTCCACAAACTTTAATAAAACCAAAACTTAAACTATTTTTTTTTTTTTTTTAACTATTAAATTAAATGTGATAAAACCCTTTATCACATTGTAAATAGTATTTTTATCACAAAAAACACAGAAACACATCTTTATCACAGTAAACACAAATATCTTTATACAGTATTCACAATATCTTTGTCACAGTAAATACAGTATTTGTATAGCAGTAAACACAGAATCTTTGTCACAATAAACACAGCATTTTATCATTGCAAACAAAAACCTTATATAATAGCAGCTTGGAAAAAAGCGTTTATCAATGCTGAACTAACAGCCGACCTAAATGAGTTTGAGGTCAGCAATTTTTATATATATATATATATATATATTTTACAAATATATATATATATATATATATATATATATATATATATATATATATATATATATATATATATATATATATATTTGTGATAGCAAGATACTAGCTTATCAAGTTTTAAAATTTATCTCCAAATAATTTTCTTACCACAGGTGACCAACCGGATCCACTTTGATGAACCTGATGAAATAATCAAAAATTTTATACAAAATAAAAAATAAAAAAATAAAAAGTAAACAACTTAATAATAAAAGTAACAACAAGCAGTAATTAATATTTTAGCAGATTAATAGAGTTTTTTCAAATAAATAAAAATGAAAATAGAAGATATGATTCTTTAACACCATTTATCTACAGGTAGGAAACTATGTATATATATATTTTTTAATATTTTAAAAATTGGTTTTCTTAAACTCTGCAAGAAATTTTACTTCAAAAGTAACTTTTGAGCAAAATTAACTCATAGAAATCATAGTTTGGAAATAAAATGGAAATAGTTTACCAGTGGAAAAAATTTTCCACTGATAAACTATTTGATTTTATAAGCACAAATGGCAAGCAGTAATTAGTTAACAAATATCAAGAAAATTCTAAGAAAAAAACTTTTTTACAAAAAATTTAAAATTGTTTCATTGAAATGAATATTGAAAATTGATTTGAAAAGAAAGTAAACAAGAGTTTTAGATTTTTAGATTTAATTTAGATTAGTTATTTGTTTAAAGAATTGCTTAAGTTTCAAAAGTCTTTAAAAGACTTAAAAATTAATAAAAATTATGTGTACATCATATTCTTAAAATATATGTGATTCAAACTTTATATGAATTTCTACTTTTCTTAACCAGAAACAAAAAATAAAAATTAATAAAAATACATGTTCAAATTGCTAAAGAAAATTTGGTAATGATTAACAACTTCTACCTTTAAAGTAAAGCCATTATAAACTGTTAACTTTAACCTCTAAAAATTTTAAATTTTGATGATTGCAGTTTAACTATTGTGAGAAAGATTTCATGAAGTATGAATAAACTCATTCCTAAAAACCCATACTGTAAGTTTATGAAAGTTTTGATCTGTATTTTTTTGGTGCTACACACAATATAATACACAACTCGATATTCAAATGATTTCTTACAGAGGTAAGAATATAATTTACGGTTCCAAATATAAATTTACAAGATTTCTTATAGAGATAAGATCCTAATGTATGCTACCGAGTGTAATTTTACATGATTTTTTATAGAGATAAGAATTTAGTGTACGTTTCCAAGTGTAACTTGGAAACGTACACTAAATAATATACTTCCAATAAATATATAAAATAAATAAATATGCTTCCAAATTTTGCTCAAAACTCATTCAGTTTGTGTGAAACCATTCATTTTATATATCTAGCATTTTCCAAAGTGTTGTTTCTAGTTTTTATTCTTTCTTTTTTATGTTTCTTTTTTTTGTGTGTGTGGGAAATAATTCTTTATTTTAGTTATTATTCAAATTCGTAAAACTTTTTTTTTTTTTTAATTGTTTTTTACTTCTAATTTAAACCTTATTCTATTTGTTTCTGATCAATATCAATTCTCTAATGCATTATTTCTACTTAGAAACCATTATCTTATTGTACAAATTTTTGATTTCCATTCTAAAACAACAATAACAACAATAATCTATTAAATAATTATTAAAGGAGCATTAATAAATTTAATAAAATAAAATGAAAAGCCAAAATATAATCTCAAAATAAAAGAATGTTTCTTCTTCTGGTCAGTTTTTTAAATTATTGAAAACTAGTTATGCTTTTCTTATTTACTCACCAATTGTTTTAAGTTTACACCCACTAATTGTTTTAAGTTTACACCCACTAATTGTTTTAAGTTTACACCCACTAATTGTTTTAAGTTTACACCCACTAATTGTTTTAAGTTTACACCCAATAATTGTTGTTAAAACATTAGTTGTTTTAAAATGAATACTCACTAACTGTTTTAAATTAACAATCACTTGTTTTTAAATTTTGATGACATTAAAATATTTTAAATAAATTTTGCATTAGAGTAACTTAATTTCAATGAAAAATAATTTTAGCTAAACAGGGAAATCCAATTTTGTAAAAAAATCCAGATTCTTATTAAATAATATACATAATAGTTAAATACATCTTAATATTCATATTTAAAACCTGCTCATCCTGAACCCCAAATATTCCTGGAATAGATGGTCCACAAATGTCCACATCTAAAACTGCAACCTAAAAAAAAAAATGATAAATATAAACATAATTATTTTAATTTATTTAAATTTATTTAATATAATTAAACTTATTGAAATTATTAAATTATGTAACTAATTGTAACTAGAAAAAAAAAAAAAAACATAAACATAAAAACTTAATTATCTAACTTATGAGCCTTGTTGAATTAACTAATAGTCACTTATTAAATAAAGCATTCAACCACATTAACTTTACAAGAAAACTGCTATGATAATTAATACAAGAAAAATAAGAATGGTTTTAAAACTACCTATTAAAAAGACATATACAAATTTGATCTGATTCTTTCAAGAAAAAATTCTGTCAAATTTGTGGTAAATCACATCTGAGCACATTAAAAACAGATTTATCCAGGGATGCGAAGTTCCATTGATTTTTTGATACTCTAGGACTCCGGACTCTGAGCTCTAAAATCATAGACTCCATGAACTTCTACTGCGGACTCTGAAATAATTTTTTTTCTTTATTTAAATATGGGGTTTTTATTATCTGGAACCTTTACGTGAAAATTCCGGAAAAATGAAAGGGTACCAATAATATTTTCTCTTATGAATTATAAATATGTTTATTTTATGTACCCTAAAAAGTCTTTACGGTCTTTTAACAGAGCACCTTAGAAAAGCAATTGACAGGAAATTCACTCCTACTTCCTAACTGATGTTTCAAAACCAAAGGTGGGTTTGAATCACGGATCACTTATTTTTTTAGGAAAGTGCGCTACCACTGCGCCACGGCTGCTTAAACTTCAAAGTTAATTTGTCCCGCTTTTGCTGGATAGTAAAAATTAATAAAAACAATACAACTCCAAAGATTTTTATTTGATTTTTAATGTCACACTCAAAGATTTCTCAGATGTCGCACTCAATTTCTCAGATTATTTGAAACCACATGATCATAAAATTATAAAAAGATTTAAATGTTTATTTACATTAATTACACGCTAAATTATAAAGTTACAAGGACAAATTATTACAATATCTACATCATCAAAAATGTTCAAATAAAATGTTTGTAAAAAAAAAAAGCATATCATCAATTATCTCAGATGTAAATCGACTTCGATGGTCTGGTGTCATGTGCTTTAAGACTCAAAACAGACGCTTAACACTGACTTGGGGTATGGGTAGTGACAAAACAACATGGCAGGCATCCCATAAAACTTCAGGGAACTGCTCAATTGATTTTAGTGGGTTAAGTTTTAAAAACTTGTCAAAGTTTGAAAAGATTTCCGGAATTGTTTTTAGAGCTTGTTGAAACTCCATTTTGATTACATCTAGTTGAACCAGCATTTGTTCTTCTGAAGAAATTTCTTGAATCTCCTGTTCACACAACATAAATAAATTTGGTCGACGCTTTGCAACTGATGAAGCATTCTTCTCATTTTCTGAACTAGAGTCTGACACATCAACTGCAAAAGAGTTGCGCTCTACTGCTTTTTTGGTTTTGTTGAGTTCATTATTCTTATTTTAATTAGCGAATTGAATCTTTGAAATTTTTAATGTATTTTCCAAAGTCCATCAGCTGCAGTTATCTATAGAAGTATTTATACTTTTTGGAATATGTATTTTTTAAAGTTAAATAAATATAAATAAAATTTTGTTAAAAAAACAACCTTGTCTTCAGTCGCTGTTAGCATACAGCCATGCCTAATATCAACATAAATTGCTGCAAGAAACAACAAATTTTTGCGTAGCGCACTTTCTCTATTATCCATTCCTTTTTGAAAATCTTTGGCTAAGTCACTGTCCTTCCCGTCAAGTTCACATTATATTGAATTCTAATCAAAAAGGAATTCGCCTGCGGTGATATTATTCATAATTGTTTGAGTATTGGGCATTTATACCAAGGTACTGATGCATATGCCTTGATGTAGATTTGACTTTTAAATAAATTAGCATTCTTGATAATTTGTTTTTGATTTGTTTGGAATGCTTTTTGGCAAGTTTCGTAATCTGAATTCTCATATTATCTCTATTCATTTTAAATCCAAAATGAGATGAAACTCTTCTGCAATGCTTTTGAATAGGTTCCCGATCAAATGCCAATAGATAATGTTTTTAGAAAATTAATGTTTATTTTAAAATGCCAAAAAAAACATAATTGTTTAGATATTTTTTTAATTAAAAAATAAATACTAACAAAAAAATAAATTGAACCTGGAATGAAAGACCTTCAACCAAAACCAGCTGGTTTAAGGTTTCAAAAAACTTAATTTGCTGTGGTACAAAACACTTTAATATGGATTGCTGTGAAGTGATACCTTTGATAGCTGTATATTTTTGCTTCTTATTCTTTTCTTCTTTTTTTTTTTTTTTTCTAACTTTTCTATTTCAAATGTAATGCTCTGCATGTTTTCTACATAAGTGTCGTATAAGGTTGCTAATGCGAGCTTTTGCGACACATGTAATTTCTTTACCGTATAACTCATTACTTTTACTTTTTTTTGGGTACAAGACATTTGAAGCACACTACTTTGCATACATTTAAAATTTTATTTGTACGATGAAAATATCTGTAGATTGTATCCTATGCATGGTCAAGATTGTTACACGCGAGTAAATAAAAAATATTATTATAAAGAAAGAATATTGTTATTGTTAGTTATTGTGAACATGTAAAGTATCTTCTTTCTGTTATATATACTTCGTAAAATTAACTATTTGTAAAACAACCCACGAAAACTTAGTTAGGAAAGCTGTTACAATGACTAGTTATGAATCGATGACGTTAGTAGTTTTTCCGTAAAAGAAATTTTAGTGCAAAATTATAATTTTTATTTATTTGTTGAGGTATTTTATAAGCTTTTTTTGGTTTTTTTCTGACCTAGATGGTACGTTTTTTGCCAATTGTCTTGATCGCTAGCTTGACTTTATAGCGCAAACTCACAGACAAATTTAATTTTTTATTGCATACAATTAATTAGTTAGTGAAATTTGATAGTTTTTTGTATCTCAACCATATCGCTTTCATTGCAATTTTTCATTAGGCATTATTAAAATAAAAATTTTCATTTTCTTAGCAAAGTAGGCTGAAAACCAATGTACATAATTATATTATCACATGCCATTTTGGGTTGAAATTAAAAGAAATAGAAAGATTTTTTTTTTAATAGTATTTACAAGCTTCATTTATTTATAAGTATAGTTTCCTACTATAGTTTACAGTTTTAAACAGTGCTTAAACAAAGCAAAAAATATGTTGACAATTTTTTTCAAAGAACTTGACTTTGGTAAAATATTTGTCTACTGTTCATAACCTAGTTAATCCTTTCTAATCGACTTTCTTTCTATGATCAATCTAAAAAATCAATGATAACAAAAAACTTATAAATAAAAGCAACTTCAACACTAAAATATCATTTATTTCTATATTTGGTTAATATTCAAAACAAATTTAACAACTAAATTCTTAAACATATTGTTAGCAGGTCTAGCCAGCGACGATTTTACAATTAAAACAAGGAGGATGAACCCTTCAAATGTGACAAATGTCTTATGTTAACTTCCTCTCTTTTTAGGGTAGGGGACAACAACCCCCTTCTCATACAAACTGTGAAATTGCCTCTGGGTCTTGCAATTTGATGATGAGGATAATCCCTTTTTTAATAGGATAAAAAAATTAATTGTTTTAAAACTATAAATAAATAAACAAAAATCGTTACATATAAAATGAACATAATTTGCGAATAAAAGTTTATTAACTTAACAAATTTTTAAACTTAAATTTTATTTTCACTTTATTTTCTTTAACTAATTTTAACAAAAAAAAATTTATTAAACAAACTGTTTCTTTAACAAAAAATCAATTAGATCACAATTGTGGTTAAATGCTTTTACTTACAACATATTTTCTGAATAAACATCACATAAACAATATCAAAATATAATTTAAATATTCTAAAAGATAAAAGTTTTCTCTAAACATTAAACTGCTGACCGCGTAGGCATATGGCCTTTCGCACGTAAAATACGAGCTTGGTAACGACTCTTAAAAAGGTGTAAGATTCAAACCAACACTCAATCTGAGTATCGGTTCAAATTGGTAAGGAAGGAGATGAGCTTTTTGGTCAAATGCTCTTTCACAGTGTTTTGTGACAAGACTATCAGGTATTTCTTAAGCATATTAATAACTATAAAAAAAAAGAGTCCCGGAGTTCTAAAATTTTTATGGACTCCTGAGACTCCGGGCTAAAATAGGAACTCCATGGACCCTGACTTCAGACTCTGCATCCCTGGATGTATCACAAATGTTTAATTTTAAGACAGCCCCTTTCTATCAGATTCTTTAATAACATAATAAAAACAATATTAAAAAATACAATTAAAAAAATTGAGAAACATTTAGATACAGCATTTGTGTTCCAGAAACAATATAAATCAATTTGAAATAAAGCTGAATATCAGGCCTTGTTTTAAATAAAAAAGTGCTTAATGCATTAGCTTAACGCAATATTTGGCATCATAAAATTATCTTTATTTTTTTTAAAGACATTAAGTGTTTTAACTACCGCAATAAATAAATAACCGCTAATAGTTCAATTTCACAATTAACTCAAATAACTATAAATGTTTTAAATGTAAATTTATTATGAAAAGTTTGTTATGTTTTCAATTGTTATTTTAATATTAATTTTAGCTTAATATTATTTAGTAAAAATATATATATATATATATTTTAATTATTTCTGAAATTTGTTTTTGAATAATTATTGTTTATAAATTGTTATTGAATAAAAAATCAACATAATTTTTTTATTTTTAAAAATTTCTGGAGTAAACAAAAAATATTAACATTGATAAACAAAAACCCATGTTAATTATTTAAACAGCGATTTTGTTTTGACTAGCACAGAATATTTTAGGTTTTTAAATATTTTTTAAATTTATGTTGCTTAGCGTTTTAACTTGCGTTATATTAAGATATAAAAAAGTTTCATGTCTGCTTTGAGCATATTTTTGAAACGTAGTTTAGAAAGCGTTCGCCAGAAATTTAATTCATAAATTTTTTACATTAACGTAAAAATGTTTTACATTTTAAATAAATCACAAAGAAACAGAGCTATAGAAAAAAATTGTTTTTAAGGATTAATAAATCTTTTTTTTTGAATTTTAGGAATTAAAAAAAAAATTAAATTAAAAAGAAAAATCTTAATTATGCAAACTCTTTTGTTAATTATTCTTAAAACAAAAAACAAATACTTCTTCACAAAACTTTAATTGTGCAAACTTAAAAAAATACTCAACTAAAATAATATAAGTATATTTAATAATTTGAATCGCATCTGTTTATAATAAACGTTCGTTAAATTTTTTCATTAAAAATTAAGTTGCTTAACTTAGAAATAAACTCAAAAGTATTTTCATTCTACGTATAATTACAAAACTCTTTTTTTTTTGCTTGTTTGTGAGCAATTTAACTTGAAATAATAAAATAAAAAAAGAATAAATATGAGGTAATCTTTGATAAGAAAAAATTTTATTTATTGAACTATATTTTTATTTTTATTTATATACCAACTTAAATAAAATATAGTAACATAGTAAAATATTTTAACATGACTTGTGTCATTTATAAACTGTAGGGCAGCTGCCCTTACGACACCATTGGTTTAGGATAATATTTTATTTTGATGAAGATCACATAACTTACATATGATTTTAATAACATCAAATGTAAGTTATGTATATGATAAAAATATGATAAACTTGTAAAATCAAAAGGAAAAAAATGAACTTTCAAAAAAACTTTTAAGACATAGAAGCTTCGACTTTCATCAACTGCAATATATTAAAAGCAACTTATAATAAAAGTGTTTCAAAGGACATAAATGTTTCTGCTCAAAAACAGTTAAATACATTTATCCTTGGAATATAAAAAAATACTTGCACACAAGGTTTTCTTAGAAAAATATAACCTTAAGGTTAAACTTAAATATAGTTAATATAAACACATTTATGCTATAATTTTTGAACTATCTTTAGAAATAAGAAAACTCTCTCTCTCTCTCTCTCTCTCTCTCTCTCTCTCTCTCTATATATATATATATATATATATATATATATATATATATATATATATATATATATATATATATATATATATATATATATATATATATATATATATATATATATATATATATATATATATATATATATATATATGTACATAACATTATAGTGTCCTGTTTAAATTATTTCAATAAAAATATTCTTTTCTTTAAAATTAAAAACACTTACTTGTTTTTTTTCATCTAAAGCTAACCCTCGGGCAAAAGTAGATGTAAAAGTACTTTTTCCAACACCACCTTTACCTGAGAGTATAACAATTATATGTTTAACTGATGCCAGTCGCCATCTTACTTCCTGTATGCCTGTATAAAAAAAAAATTAAAAATTAAATAAATAATATTATACATAAAAACCATAAAAATAATTATCCAAATTATTCATTAACAAACACAAATAAGTGGAGGTACAAATAGAGCTACAGAGCAGGAAAAAAAAAGAAATTTATTATAATCATATACTTTAATGACAAGTTATTTTTTGGATGATATAAAATAAATAGAACTAAGAGAGGGTAAAAAAAAACTAGGTAGTAAGTAATACTGTTACAATAATACATACTGTTGATATAACAAGAGCATTTTTTTTTTTTTTTTCTGTTTGATTTTACTTTATCTAATATATTAGATGAATTAAAATCGAATAAACAAACAAAATAAAACAGAAATTAAAACACATAATGTATTTTTAATGTCTTGTTTTAATAAGACACATTTTTAACCTAAATCTGGTTTAAATTTATTTTGTTGTTCAGTAATGATTTTGCCAGCTTGAAAATAAATCTTCTGAAAGGATTGATAGTACAACAAAAAATCTTTGCTATCTTATACAAAAAGGGAAATAGACATCAGGCCTTGATTTAAAGCGTTACGCCTAGAGCGATTTACGTACACCTTAAGCGATTTTTATGTACGCGTAGAGCTGTTTTGGTTAAGCTACTTTTTATCATTTTTTAACTTTTAAATTAGCGGTAACATAAAAGAAGTAATTATTTTTTTAAAAAAATCACATTAACTTTTGAATAATGATATGTAAAAATATTTATTACAAAAAAGAATTTACGTTAAAAATAATTGTACTATCTTTTCATTGCGATATATCTTACCTTTTTATAAAAGTTAATTTTACGCTAAACTTTTTATTCAAATATTTAGTAACATGAAAAATTGTTTGTCAATCCTTAACTACAAGTTTTTTGCAAATGTTTTCAATAAAAAAGAGTAATTTTTTAAAGTTTTCAGTAAAAAACTTTTAAAAAATCTATGTTCCAAATTTATTAATACAGAATATAAATGTTTTTTTTAATATAGATTTTTTAAGAGTTTTTTACTAAATTCATATTAAAAAACATTTGCAAAAAAATTATAATTTTTGACATTTTTTTTTAATATCTCAAAAAATGTCTTAATATTTTTGTTATCATGATAACAAAATTATCAAGACATTTTTTCGAGATATTAAAAAAAATGTGCCAATGAATGAACAATCTATTTGTATTGTACTAAAAACTACTTCATTAATTATTACTCTTTGCTTTTCTTATTAGTTAAAGGTACCTTTACCTTTAAGTTATGCGGGGTAGGGGGCCGGCACAGAAAAAAAAATTACCTGTTACTCACAATTTTTAAATGCAGACAATTTGTTAAATTTCTTCTGTGTGCAATTCAATAAGTTTTTTTCATAAATCAAGTTATATTATAAGGTAAAGAAATCACTAGTAGACTAACATCAGCTGATGACACTAATATTACGTTAAATATATTTATATTACGGAGGTTTCATTATGCACGTGCACATTACAGACTCTGTTAAATAAATACTAAGGCACAATTTAGTTTAATGACAGCCTCTATTTTTTACTAATGACTATGTATTTTTCTGTATAAAATAAGACAAACTAGTATATAAAAACCTAGTATATTTCTATTCTTTCCAAGTTGTTTAAAGTTCGAATATGGATTGTATTTTGAAGGATAAAAGATTTACTTTGAAAACTTTTAAATCTTTGGACTTATTAATTTAAAAAAAATTTACACATCTTCAATTAAAATTGTCTTTGAATTTGATGACATGATTATAATTATATAAGTATTTTATTTACTTCTAAAGTTACAAAACAATCAGTTAGTTTAATTATATTACCAATTAGTTCAACTATAGTATTGTGATCAAAATTTTTACAAAATTTTGGTTTTAAAAAATCAATTGGCTTACTAATGATTTCCAATTCCCCACTTTTTTATTATCTTTATTCTGTGGCTTGATTATAACATCTTTGTTTAGTTGCTAATTAAAAAATGAACTGGAAAATTAAAAAGGTCAAAGCCCACCAGGTTTTTAAATTTCTTAATTGAACATTTATCTTCTGTATTGTCAATTTTCCTATTATCTAACTAGACACAGAAAGCAGAAAGCTCAATTCTATGTCTAAACAAGCAACCAGTTTCCTGTATTTTTTGACACACTGATTTTCTTCAGTTGATAGCTCATTCTCTTTTACAAGAACATTTTTAAGAATTTAATTTAATATATGACAAAAACGAGGTATGTACAATGTATTTATTAGATCTTTTAGAGCATATTATGAGATATTGTATGTATGAGTGGTTCCTTAGCTAACAGTACTTGTCGCAACTATTCAAATATAAAAGTTTAAATTACAAAAAAATTAAATACGCTCATTATTTACAAGTAGAAAAAATTCATAATAAAAAAAAAGTTTAAGTCTTTTTAAAATAACATTTTAATAAAATTATTCAGCAATAGCAAAGTTGTCGATAAAATTGAACAAAAATACTTTTTTTTTAGTTTAAGATTTTTAACTTAAATAATTATTTTACGGGGATGTTAGGTTTTCAAATTATTCCATAGATTTAAAAATATTTATTAACTGTTAGACGTATTTGAAGTATTTAAGAGTAATTTCGAGGAAATTTTTAAAAATTTGTAAGCGCAAATAAAAAAAAATAAAAGGATTAATATTAAAATGTATTCTACTTGATTCAATAAAAAAGTACAGTTATTAAAATTTTTGAAAAAAGTAACTCAAAAAAAATTACTTAAACAATAACAATTGCTTTTTTGTTAAAAGTTACCGAAATTCAACGAAGCGTGCTCAAAAACAGCTGCTGAAAAATAGAACGTCAATAGTTTGACGTTCTATTAAGTTTATATAACCTAATAAGTTTATATAACCTGGTTTTGTTACCCGGTTTCTACCAATGTAAAATGAATTTCCACAAACACCCTGAAAAAGGCTCAATAAACGTAAAAAATAAAATAAAAATTAATTTGCAACTTGTAATCATAAGCCATTTCATAAAACTTAAAATATAAAGTATATCTAAATGAGGACATATATAAAACATGCATTAATTTTTTTTCTTAAAAAAAAAAGAAAGTTGTTTTACTATTTTTGCTAGTGCAAGTAGATTTTATTTCACTAGAAATAAAATTCCTTGTAAACATTAAAAATCTATTCAAAACATTCGTTAAAGTTTTTTAGTAATACGAGTGATAGTGCTTATCAACCGCTTTATGAAAATAAATAAATAAAAATAAATAAATAAAAAAATATATAAAATCGCTGGTAAAAATATTAGCTATTGCACAGTTTTTAATCGTACAATTTTAAAATTTCCATTTATTATTCGCTGACTTTTTAAAAAGAAAAATAATTATTTGAAAAACTTTAAATTACATATTTGAGAAAAAAAAATCAAATATTAGCATATTTTATAATCTTTTTAAAATGTTTAGTTATAATGTTTTTTATTCGTTTAGTATAGACAAATTGTGTCAAACGTCAAGAAAATAAACAAATGTTTTTACATTTTAAAAAACGAAATACTCCAAAACATTAATAAATAATAACATTACTACATTAATAATTTAAAGTAGTTTTGCGGTAATTAAGTAAATTGGTGCAGTTATAAATGTTGATAAATATGAAAAGCAAATAAAAAGAACTTAATGATGTCAAAAATCACATCGTGCTTATGCGTAGCGCAGTTTTTATTTATCACAAGGCCTGCCATCTCAATTAAAATTAAGTGGTGCCTACCATCCTACCCATATTATAGAATGTGCCCTAGAGTATAAAAAAAGTTGGGAGCCCCTGCTTTAGACAATGTTCCATATCTCACAACAACAATGTTCAGCAATGTCACAACTTGCTGAAAGTTTTTTTAAAGATTATTTATTTTCCATTAATTTAGAATTTATTTTATTTGCTCTTTTGAATATAGGTTATTAAGAGTCTTTATTTAAAAGAGTAAATTAGTAGGATAGTTAATTATATCAAGATTATATCCATTGTTGATTAAATCAACTATTTAATTTTTTAACTTATTTCAACTTTTGACAAATTGATTTTTTAGAAGTTTATAATAACACTAGTAAAAAGTGTCATGTTATGCATGTTAGGAAAAACGATCCAAAGCATGATTACTTCATACCCAATTCAAATAATGACAATATAATAACTTTGTCTATGTATGAGAAAGATCTAGATATCAATTTCTTAGCTAATCTTAAGTGGAAACAACACATGATTAGCACTGTGTCTAAAACAAATTTAAAAAAATAGATGTTAAAGGTTTTTTACACTACAATAGCATGTCCATATCTTGAATAAAATTAACACAACTTTTAACTTAGTGATTAAGAGGTGATTGGATACAAATTTTTAAATAAAATTTTTATAGATAATATATATCTAACCTTAAATGGATACAGAGAAATAAAATATTTAAGAAAATCAGATAAAAACATGTGGATACAAATAAAGATACCATTAGTAAGTAAACAGGGTTCCGGCTAAAAATAGAACTTGGTAAAAATAGAACATGGTAACCCCAGGTCTAAAAGATCAATAACAAAAAATGTTCATGTTTTTGATATTGTATGAAAGAGTGGTGTGTAAGATTGTCAGGAAGATGGCTATTGAAGATGAAGAAACGACACAGGAGCAAGGATAGAACCTTGTAGTACTCCTAAAGTTACTGGAAATGAAGAAGAGTGCAAGCCTTCAAAAATGACTTGAACACTCGAGTTAAAAAGGTCCTAATTGTAGGATAGTTAGAGAGGTCTGAGTGTTTTCTAGATTTTTTAAATATTAGAATCACTTATTGTTAATTATTAATATTTAGCATTTAACAAGAGTTTAGCAAGGATTGAAGAGAGTTCTGGGGAACATTTTGGTAAGGCTATGATGGAAATGTTGTCTGAACCACAAGCTGTAGAAAATTAAAATTGGGAATTTACTTAAGCATTGGAAGCTGGAGTAATTTGGATGTCTTACAATGGGTTTATCTGTTTAACTGGAATTGCAGAAAAAGTATGGCAAATACATTCGAGTCAAATTAGAGAAAAGGTGTTTTGCAAAGAACACTGCCTTATTCAAAGGAAAGGTAATAAGATCAGACCCATTAATTAGAGATTTCAGACTTATTTTAGGTAATGATACTTTTAAAGATTTTCCTGATCTAGAACCTATCATCTTATATAAAATACAAGATTTAGTAAACTGAGAATAATAGAGCTTAGCATTAGATAGGACTCTTTTACATTCACTTCTTCCAATAATAAAAAGACATTTGTTCTCAATAAATATGTTCTTGTAAAAAAGACAAAAAAAAATGATTACGATTTAATATAGCAACTGCACAAGAATATGAAAACATGGAGTAGAATGAGGCTTGATTTAAAACCAAAAAAAAGGATTACAAATTTCAATACGATCTTGGATCCAGGAGGTTAGATAAGAGCTGCATTTATGCATACATAATATTGCTATATATAGATATAAACATATGTTTGATATTTATTTAGATGCTGGCATACAATATCTTTACATATTTGTATAAACTTTAGTATAGTAGTATTTATCAAAAGAGAAGATAATGATCAGATAGATGTGTGCTATGACTTTAGCAAGACAAGGAGCCATAATTTTAGACAGAATTTTAACAAGAAAAGGATTCATAATTTTAGACAGAGATTAGAAAAAGTGGTTTGGGTATCAGCAAGTGGAGAGGTAGCAACTTTAGAAGAAAATGGTAGAGGTAGAAGTAAGAAAACTTGGAGAGAGTACATTACATATGGTATGGATGAACTTTGGTTAAGGAAAAAAAATGCTTAGATTTTTTATATTAAAGAAACAGCATAAAAGGGGAAGGCTAAAGCATGATAATGATGATGATGATGATGATGATGATGATGATGATGATGATGATGATGATGATGATGATGATGATGAAATAATGATAATGATGATGCATATATATAAATATACATGCATACGTATATAAATATATATATATATACATATATATATACATATATATATATATATATATATATATATATATATATATATATATTTACATGCATATATATATATATGTATATATATACATATATATATACTTACATGTATATATATATATGTATATAATATATATATATATATATATATATATATATATATATATATATATATATATATATATATATATATATATATATATATATGTATGTATGTATATAATATATATATGTATTAAATTTCAAATAAAAAATATATACTTTAGGATGTATCAATGTTTATGCAGCCCTAGTCACAAACCCGGCCCCTGCTATTTTTTTATTAAAAAATATTTTTTATTTTATTTTTAATAAACCTGACCCTGTTCAAATTTCAACTCCAGTCATTTACTAGATACCATGCTGAACTTGCAGAAAGTGCTTCTATACAAAATTATTTCCTTAATCAAACCACAAATGAATGGAATGAATTACCAGATGAAGTAGTCAATTCTTATAGCTTAAACCAGTTTAAAAAGTTGACAAGTAAAAAAATGATAAAGCAATTTATCTTCACAAATAGTTGTTTCAGTGTGTTAACCATGCCACATTTATACAGTCACAACTTTATTAATAAAGTTAATAAAAATTAAAACTAAAGCTGTTACAGTGCAATGCCTACAGTTATTGCACTTCAAAACTGTTTATAACAGTTGTTATGACTATACTTTAATACCATTATTGTTTCTAGAATGATAATCAAGTCAATAGAATAAACCAAGTTAAAAAATAAAAACTAGCAAGTAATCAAAACTATTTTGATTTTAAAACAATTGACTGATAAAAACAATTATATTTGCAATCAGAGACATAAGACAATTGACTGATAAGATCAATTATATTTGCAATCAGAAACATTAGTAAAAAACAAACTAATAATTTAATAAATTACTTGATAGAAAACCATATACACAACATTTACTCAATAAAAAAACCTACCTGGATCAGGTAGTTTTGCCTGGCCAGAAGAACAAATACTTTGGTTAGGACAACCTTGACAGGCTGTTGTTTTTCCAGCTGAAGCACTCTCAGTACCAGGACAACCTAAGTTAAAAAAAAAAAATTTTATGGAAGCAGCACTTTCAAAATGAATATTTCAAAAAGAATATTTCAAAATGAATATCTAATTATCTTATGTCATCAAATTCCCTAATTGTAGTACTGTATAAAAATTCAAGTGCATAAGTTAACATTGACTTAGCTTTCCAACTGAACTTATAACAATAATTTGCAATCTGTTATAGTTTAGAAAAAAGTGGTTGCTTTGTGAATACTTTTAAAAAAAAGCTAATCTCCACTGCAGAAATAGGATTGAAACATATAGAATTAAGACTTTTCAAAACAAATAAGTCACTCCCTTTTGTCACTAAAACATTGCTTGATCTTCCTTTTTATAAATGCTGCAATCTTTGTTTTGATCATATTAGAAGCAATAACTTCTGCTGCACTGGAAACTTAGCAAACAACTGTCTGAGGATTATTCCTTGCATTTTGAACAGTAGAGAGACTTGGATGTGAATTCCTAAACCAATTAGCTGCCAACAGCACAGACACTTTGTTGCTACTGGAGGTTTACTTGTTCAATTGGAACTAATAGTATTGAAATAAGCTATTTCTGAAATAAGGCAAAAGCACAAACAATTTGATATGGTTAGACTTGTATTAACAACTTTAGAAAAATAAGGCAGATCGTAATTTTTCTCTCTCCTTTTTCAATCTTGAAAACTGTTCACTTAACCCTGGTAAAAAGACTAATTTATAAAAAAAAGCAAATATCAAACTAATTTTTAAAAAAGGCTTCAAACTTTTGGCATTGAACAAGTACATTTCAACAAGCACTTGCTTCATAAGCAAGAAAACACTACCAGCCAAAATTCCGGAGTTAATGTATATACTATAAGCTTCTTCAAACCTAAATCTAAATCAGTAAAATATTTAAATGTCTGTGTGTGTATGTGTGTGTGTGTGTGTGTGTGTGTGTGTGTGTGTGTGTGTGTGTGTGTGTGTGTGTGTGTGTGTGTGTGTGTGTGTGTGTGTGTGTGTGTGTGTACAACTAAAGTTAAAACTAACTTTCAGGAGCATTATCTGGTACATCTGCCATAGCTGACTTGATCTTTTTAACTAAATAACAAATTTTATTTTTCTAGAGTAAAATAACTTTGGAAATTAAAAAAAAAAAATTAACAATCATAACAACTTTTATACAATTTAAATAATTAAACTAATTTAAATTCGTCAATTTTTTGTTAACTAATTAAATATTTATTCATATAAACTAAAATGCTAGAACTTGATCAGTTATTAATATTACCTTAATATACTATAATAACCTATTATAGTTATTATTATTACTATAACTATAATTAATATAAGTATTGTATCTTTATCTTAGGATGATACCATTGTTATTACCTTTTTAATATTATATATAATTATAACTTTAAGGCCTTAATTACTTAAAACCTTTAACTTAAAGGCTAAGCCTAAAGTTCAAATAATAATTATTTAGTAAACATATTTTAAATAATGTTAACAAAATTTATTGCAAATGAAAATATTATTTCAATAGATTTAATTGCTTTCAATGATAAATAATCATGCTTATAAAATTGAATAGCACAAGACAGAAACTAAACTTATTCCATCACATGTATTAGTTATTTGGTCAATATACTACAAGGCTGTAAATAATCAGCCGGTTATAACCGATAACCGATTGTTTAGACCGGAGTTTTTCGGTTATTATTAGCTTTAGTAATAACGTTAGTCAAAAGAAATAGATGACTATCTAAAAACCTCAGTTATTACAAAAAAAAATTATATTTTGCTGTGAAAACGTCATTTTAACTTTCGTCAATAGATGATGTTCGTAACAGTGGCGGTTTTTAGGGGAGGGGGGGGAGCATAAGGGTAGTAGCCCCCCCCCCCTTCTTGGGACTTTTTTTCTTTTGTAAATTGACTATTATACAGAATCGGACTACTGTACTGACGAAAGAAATTGGCTATTACTTGATTATTACACTAAAGTACAAAAAATTAAAAAAGAAAATTACTTAGAATGAAAATATGCAGACTTATTTTTTTTTTTTTAGACATTTTAGCGCCCTCCTTAGCGAGCGACAAAATCCGCCCCTGGTTCGTAAACGTTTTTCTTTAATTTTAAGTTAATGTACCATTTAGTGACAAAAAGATGAGCACAAAAAAAAAAAAAAAAAAAAAATGACATTCAGAGTAAGCGTAATTCTATTATTTTTGCTTGGCAAATTGTGTATTCTTTGAGATTGTTTTGCAAGTTCAGCTTTTTTCATAGGTTTCACTTGCAAAAATTGGTCTTACGCATCGCAGTATAAGTGTAAATAAAATACAAAAAATGAACTTAGGTTAAAAAAAGTTAGTTAAGTTTTAGAAAGAGCATTTTTGCAATAGTCACTTTTAATTTTATTTCTATATTATTTTTTTTTTATTTTATTTTAGGTGCCCAACGAAAACTTTCGAATAAAGCATTTCGATACATGCAAACATACAAAGAAACCTGTCGAAAAAAACATTTCGATACATGCACTTACAAATAAAAATTTTAAACATTTGGGTAATTTAATCAAACTTGTTCCAAATCCACACTAAAATTACGGTTTCAACGGCAATTTTAGGGAGAGTTTTGACTCAACTTTAGACTATTTACAGACTTAAATTGTTTCATTATGCATCATTTGATAATCTTTCAGCAATAAAACTATGAGGATTTTTAACTTTGTGTGTTTAATATTAACAATAAAAACAGTGCATCAAAAGCATTGAATCTTGCCCACTTGAATTAAATTTCTCCATGTTGATTTATAAATCAACATCAAACTTTATAAAGCTTCCGACTAAGTGACTTTAAAGGTGAACTTAATTTTAATATAATTTTGAACAAGTAATACAACATAATACTTATTAAAAGTTACACTATTTAACTTAATAAATTATAATCTATGAAAATGTCATTTAATAAAATAATATTTAATAATATGTTAAAACATTTTATATTGAGCGAACACATTCATTATGTATCAAGATAAATTGTAGGTGATATAAAAAAGATTTGCATAGATTTGCATAGATTTGCATAGATTTGCATAGATTGAGTACATATTAGTTAGAATCGTTTTCAAAAGTTTTTCTTGATTATACTTTGTATCTTCCAAACCACATAAAGTTTCCTGAGCAACTGTATAAGACTCCGCTTCTTGAATAACCCATTCTCGCAACGATTCCACCCCAGGACTTTTTTACTTTTCAAATAACCATCCTAAAAATACACTTAGCATTGTTTTTGGTAACTTCTTTATAAGTTTAATGTAGAGTGAGCTTTCTGCTAACTCTTCGAATTTTTCCAATTCTTTTAAATTTATGACTGCAATGTCCAACTTATCAGCAAAGTTTTCAAGATCATTTGGGTTGTTTGGTTTTACTGGACTGAAGTTTTCCACTCTCTCCAAATACAAGGCAATTTGTCGTTTTTCAGCCAATACCACTTTTTTTCTTTTTTCTTGAGTCTCTTAGCAGCATAGGTGAGTCGCAGTTGTTTTCTTATGCGTTTTTCTTTTTTTGAAGAATTTGCCCTGGTAATATTTTATTTTTGCTGAGTATGCATTGCGAGAAGTTAAAACAAATAATAGTAACCTTCTCTGATTGTCATCTTTTTTTCTTGGAGTGGCCTCAAAACATCATCATCGCCATCTCCTATATACCATTTTGATAGAAATATAAATGCAATAAATGTCAAAATATTCAAACAGGTTTTTTTTCTTAATTTACTAAAAGTTGCATTTTTGTTAAAAAATAAATGATCATTTTTTAAAATTACTTACCTTAGTAGGAAGAGTTTGCAAATGAAAAATCTGAAACTACAGCAGAGTTCAATTTTGGTTTAGGAATATTGGTATAACTAGTTGTTCTAAATTGTGTGTATCTAAAAAGTTTATACCAAACGTAATGAAATTTTCATCTTTTGATTCGACATCAAGCTCTGAAATAACAGTTTCTTGAACCATTGTTGAATTTCAAAGAAAAATTTCCACTAAAAAATGAATTTTTCTTAAAACAAGGTTTTTCAAGCGAGCTAAAAAGTAGAAAATAATTTTTCTTTGAGCTGGTCAGAATGTCTTATTATATTCCTCTTATAATGATGACAGATTTTATAATGTCATAAAATTATCAAATCACAATGCACCCAACGTTTTTTGTTTTATTTGTATCAAATTAGTTATAAAATCTGTTATCATTAAAAGGAATATAATCAGACATTCTGACAAGCTCAAAGAAAAATTGTTTTCTACTTTTTAGTTCGCTTGAAAAACGTTGTTTTTAGAAAAATTCATTTTTTATTATAAATTATTTTTCACTTTTTATATTTGTTTGGTTATCGCAATAATTATTTTCAACACTTACACTATTTATTATTTATTTGTTTACTAAATTTTCGTTCAATACGCGTGCTGAATTATTTAAAATATTTTTTTTCCGTTACAAAGTTTTTCTTTAAGTGCTCACTAAAGTCACTATTTATTTTTTCTGCATATAAAATTTTATTTTGTTGAAATCGAGAGAAATATTGACTGCCGAAGCTTGAAAATGGTTTAAGTTGCATTGTCATCGGGCTCTGAGCTATCCTGAAAGTTTCAGAGCTCTAGCTAGTCGGGAAGTGGGTTAAATATAGCTTCAAAGATTCTAACCGGATGGACAAACACATACACAAGAAATCAAGTTTAGAAAAACGTTGTAAAAATATATTTATTGAATGCAACTTAGTAAACTCATTCAGCATTGGTAACAATATAAAGTATGAGTATCAAAGTTGCTAATTAAAATTTAATTTGCAAATTTCATTTTATAGTATTATTAGCACACAATAAAACAATAAGCTAATACCAACCATAGAAGAATTTGTTTTAGTAGGTCCTGTTTCTTTTGCCAATGCTTGATTTCAATGTTTAAACACATTTTCGGGCATGCTGTTTACAAATAAACATTTCAGTGCACACCAGGCTATAAATCTGTTGTTGCAAGCAAGATAAAAGCCGTTTTTAAAGATTTAGTTGAGGCTTGTCAACTGAACAGTATTCATTTCAGTTTCCCTCATTTGTAACCATTATAATTATGTTGGAGTCATGACAATGTTGGTAAGTAAATCACTTTCTATTGCATCATGCGTGCATTCAGATTTTCATTCTCATTTATGCCAATCAATAACTCACCAGTATCATTTGTTCTTAAAATATCATTAACACGCACAGTAAATCACTTTATGCAAGCTAACATGTAATAAATTTTACTTTATGCAAGCTAACATGTAATAAATTTTACTTTATGCAAGCTAACATGTAATAAATTTTACTTTATGCAAGCTAACATGTAATAAATTTTACTTTATGCAAGCTAACATGTAATAAATTTTACTTTATGCAAGCTAACATGTAATAAATAAAATCTGAACAAAATTAAAAATCATATAAATTTTTTATGAAATGATCAATTTTTAAATTTAATTTAAAAAGTATAATAACAAAAAAAGTCTAAAAATAAAACTAAATATATTTGTAAGTTTTTCATGCCATAACGACAAACGGTGTCCACTCTTAAAAATAATCCTGCAGCTAGCTTATGTACACGTTTTATGTCAATTTTCTTGATTAAAAACTTGATCCTTTTTTTAAGTTAAAGTTAATTGTTTTTAAGATTTTCAGCTTACCAGTTTAGTTGTAAACCAATTTCTTTAGTATTTATTGCTGTTTTTGTACAAATTCAATATTTTTGTAATTTAGATAGTCTTGCAAAATTACTCGAGTAATTTGATGAAGCAAAAATGATATTTTACAATAATTATTAAATCTGACAAGAAATTTTGAAATATACCCATTTTTATTGACGGCTTGGCCCGATACAACATTATAATGCCTTTTGTCAAGAATGCAACCCAAACAAGTGATTTTGATTCGAATTCGTTTTTACTTTTCAACCTTGCATCATTTGATGCTACATTTTAGACAGAAGAATAGAATCCAGCATTTCTAGAAATTTTGGTAATTTACATATTTCAATATTCTATTTTTTTTCGCGGTCCAAGCATGCGTAACTATTCTTTGCCAAAAATGTTATTAATTCTTGGACTCGTTGCT